CGTCTGACCATATTTTTCTGGGTAGAAGCTGTTTGGCTGCGAAAGCAGCCATGACGTTTTAATTAAATTTAGTTCATCGCCTTGCAGTTGGACATTCATTTCGTTGAAGATTTATACAGGTCTATCGTGTAAGTTATATCATTCTTTCATGTTATGAGCTTGTTGTGTAATTCTGTATCTGTAGTTTCCAAGAACTCCATTACAGGGTTAATCAGGTTGTAAAATCGAGTCAGAAAATTGCCTCTTGATAGCTAACGAAATTCATTATGAAACAATAAGCGGTTAAAATCGTCGTCATTAGTAACTCAAAGATGATAAAATAATCGATCATTCAAAGAGCTGTTGCGGATTTTACTTACTGCTTTGATGATATACTGCAGTGGTTGTTGATCATATGTTGTCAATGTAAAGCAAGGACATCTAGAATTTAGTTTTTTAAGAGCTCTACGAAGCCTTTATGGCACCCTGTCATAGCCACTGCAACATCCGTAGCAAATGCTATAATATTTTTCAAGGGAATCTCTTTCTTTAAAGGGATTGTATTGAATATACTTTCGCCGTTTGTATTGGTCTCTAAATTTAACCAAACGTATTTACTCATCTTTAATAAATCTCACGTAAGACAGCAACAATTTGTCATTAGTTGGTAAAGTTTTCATCGAGTTGAATTGAGAATTGACAGCCATTTCATGAATCCGTCTTTGCACAGAATTATTACTCAAAGGAATTTTTCGGATAATCTCTGCGGCCGGTTTATGAAGCACCCTAGTTATTACTTCCTTTATTACTGACAAAATTGACTCTTCTCCGATGTTATGTAGTTTGCCTTTTTGAGCAATTAACAAAGAGATACAATATCTGGAAGATTGGAGTCCGTCGTCAACTTGCTTAGTAGCCGCCGAAAAGAGTATCGCTACACTTATTTATTTATTTATACTTTATGCACAAATGTACATAGGCGGACTTAATGCCTGCGGCATTTTCTGCCAGTCAACCTTAATGTAATGTGGAGAAGAATACGTGGTCAGGTGCACAATTATAAGAATAGACTAAACTAGATAACCTAATTAATATATATACTTTAAGATACATACTATATAATATTGTACATAGAAACATACATACATACATAAATAAAAATATAATATATTAAATACATACATACACGATTAACCATTAAAGAAATATGCTTGCTCTAAAAGATAGCTGCGTAACTTAGTTTTAAACGCATACCGACTAGTAGACATTCTTAGGTCTAAAGGAAGAGAGTTCCATAGGAGAATAGATTTAATAAAGAAGGAAGAATGAAGTACATCAGAGCTATGAGAAGGACACATGAGCAAACGGTTAGAAGCAGAACGTAGATTTTTAGTGTGACTTGTGGACAAGTATTGAAAGTGGGGAGTAAGATAAGAAGGAGCATTATGTGAATCTAGTAATGAGAAAAGGGTGGTTAGAGTTCGCATTTGCCTGCGTTGCCGAATGGGCATCCATTTGAGTAATGATCGGTATTCAGACACATGATCATACTTTCGTAGATTGTAAACGAATCGAATGCAGTTATTCAGAAGACGGTCAAGTTTATTAATTAGATCTGCATTCAAGTCGAGATAGCATACATCACCATAGTCGATTATGGGAAATATTAGGGTCTGCATTAGCATTGCCTTAATGTTAATAGGTAGGAAATTTTTCATGCGGTAAAGAGCTCGTAGCACTCCAGTAACTTTTTTCGAAACATTTGCTACTTGGGCCTGCCAGTTTAAGTTACAGTCGATAAATAACCCAAGATCTTTCACATTTTGGCTAAATGGGATCGAAACGCCATCGAAGACCAAAGCACGGAGATCGCAATTATTGATTCTAGTTGTCATTCGAGAGCCGCCCACCAATACAGCCTGACATTTTGTGGGGTTGACAGTAAAACCAAACATTTCCGACCAAGACTTTATAGTGATTAAGTCTCTGTTCAGAGCATCAATTGCATCGTTTAAACTATCAACATTTGCCTGAGTGTATAGCTGCAAGTCATCAGCGTACAGATGATACGAACACTGAAGTTTACAAGTGATAAAATTAATAAAAATGGAAAAAAGTTTCCAGATTATACCAGGATGACGAAGACTCACCAGACTGGATCATCTGCTGGCGCTCCCGAAGATAGGACGAGAACCAATTCAACGCACGGGTCAGACACTAAAATGTGAGATAGAATAGCGAGAAGGATATCATGGCTAACAGTGTTAAAAGCATTGGAGCAAGCATTTTACCATTCTCCATACCTGCCTTAACATCGCCAGTTACCTTGAGAAGAGCTGTGATTGTGCTATGTCCTGGTCTAAAACCCGATTATTAGGCTTTTTTCTAGGTCTTGAAAATATGCTACATTCTTGTCTTTCTTATTTGGATGCATTTTATTCAAATGACCTTGCAGTCTTGTAGGCTTCATCGCTTCATTTGAAAATGTTTTTAGACATAACTGGCACAAAGTCGACAATGGGTTTGTGGGATTTTCAATGAATCCGAATTTAATATATTTCGCATAGTATTTCCGTGTCATCTTTTTTACTTCCAACATTGTTTTGTTCTGTGAAATACGTAAGTAAGTGTTGAACTTAAGTAGGTACTGTTTATCTATATTTACGTGAGAAACCACAAATGAAAATAAAATAAAGATTATATTGTTTATATAAGATTGCATAAGCAGCACGCACCGACTGGAATAAAACGAACATGAATAAACTCGTTTATGTCATCCGACGCTTAATCGTACTCAACAAGTAAGCACAAGTATTATATGAACCGGCCGATTGATACAGGAATGAACAATTTGGGTTATTTAACAAAAACTTGTTAAAACGTGATTGCCCGTGGTCTACTATCTACGAAAATTACCTATCAAGGAGTACTAATAACTAATAAAATGCGAAAATATGTCTGTTGCCCTTTTATTTGTTTGTTTGTGTCTACTTTCATTACGAAACGGAGCGACGGATTGACATGATTTTTATTTTGTTTATTCAAAAAGACAGGATAGATATATGATCTACGCGGAGAGAATTATTGAACCAAGTTAGAGCAATCTCTTAACTAATATTAGATGATGTTCACAATTTGTAGTTGAAAGTCGAGAGCTCATGGAGTCGGTGTCTAAGAGGCCTCCTAACTAAAATTAAAACAAAAATTACCCATCCCCCAAGCCTCTACGCAACACCTCCATTATTTTCTCCGTCTCTTACCGCCCCCCTGTAGGCCTGCAGCGCCTACTTTGGGAATGACTGCCCTAGATGTAGGATGTAGTTTGAATTTTATCTCATAGTTTTATGGCGGCTCCACACGCTTGATAAACAACAAACACAAACATATACATGGGTTTTTGCCGTTTATGTTTGCCAGTGATTAGCATCGGGATACTTTTTGAGCAAAAATTAAAAGATGAACGAAATACACTAGCCCGCTTGCCAAGCGTAGAGATGCATGCCAAAGCAGTTATACCAAAATCATATTGGAAATAATAAAACCATGCTAAAAGGGATCGCCATCAGAGAGCTTGACATACAACACTAAAACGAAAATCAAACATCATAATATTATTAAAATGGTTTGGACGGGTTATTGCATTTGTTATAGTTGAAAGCTAGTGTTACCTTAAAATATTAAAGTAAGTATTTATACTTCTAGAATAACACAATAACGAACAGAAAACTTGAAGAATTTGATTAAAAAATGGAAGAAAAACATCAAATTAAATAAACTCTTCTCTGTCGCTTAGCAACATATCACGAAAAAACATACAGTCAAAGAGAATTTATAAATGCAAAAGCCAAGCAATAGTTAGCAACGGATTTGGTCTGTTTTGGTATCCAATGTCAATAATTGTTTTATCACTATTGATGAAATAGTAAAATATAAATGAAATAATTTCGCTAATTAAGCCAATATTATTTTCAACAAAATTATTCAAAATGACCGAAAAGAAATCACTTAATAGTTTTATAATACATCCAGATATTGAACCTGGAGTTATAGACAATGCTATGCTCACGCGTTGTATCTTAGAATATGGTAAGCTTTAATATTTACCTGCCTTTTGAAGTTGGTATATTCAGCTAATTACGTGGAAATATATTCTATAGACCGGGGCAGAACTGGAGACATATTCGCTTTGTAAACTATATAAACAAATCTTAAAAAAATATATAAAATGTCATCAGGGCACACGGGCCTCCCTTATACGAAGAACTGAGTATAAAAGGATGAGTAGGTAAATCTAAAATCACGAATTTACAATAAGTTTTATACATATGTTACCCCTTTAACTAAAAGTTACCTTTAATATTCGAATTTTTTCCTAGATTTTACCCACATCTAGGCAAGTAGATTTTAAATCTTTGTATTGAATGCCAACCTGAAATATTTTCCCACAACAACACAACTCGATTAATGAATAAGCAATCTAATATTATTTGTCAATGATTTTAAACACGACAAATACCTATAAATTACTAGTTGTTTTCCCGCGACTTCGCACGCGTCAATTATAACATAGGTCAACCCCGTTTGATATAGCTTAATGTAGGTGAAATAATCTTAAAAATCGGTCAAGTCGTCTCGGAGCTTATTCAATGCAAATCATTCAAATCTTTCCTCTGTGTAATATTAGTATAGACAATTAATTACTATGTACAATACATTATTTAATAAAGGCAAGGTGAATCGGGAAGTAATTGTTTACTTTGTCGTCAAATGCGAAAGTAACTTTGTTACGCTACCATGTTTAAATAGTTGAAACAATTTACAAGGTATCAAGGTAGTTTAAGACTTTAGATTGTTAAAAAAATGTTCAAAAATTCTTCAGTCCGGTGTCCGGGTGGGTCCGGTTTCGAACCCATAATCATTCGCAAGCCGATTGTGACCATCTATTATTTTTCTATGAGATGTATAAATATCAACATGGCATTGTGAACGTATAACTTGTCAAATATAATAAATAAGAACTTATGTTGACAATTCTCGTAGGTCCAACGGAGGAAGCTGGCCGACTATTTGCAGAAGAAGGAGTACATTTAGATGAGGCTCCAATAGTGCGACTGGAGTTTCAGAACATTTTAAGGATAGATCACCTATGGATGCTTAAATCTCTCACAAAATTAACTCTAGCACATAATCTAATAGAGAGAATTGAAAACTTGGACCAGCTCATCGGTTTAAACGAGCTAGATTTATCGTTTAATAAAATCGAAAAGATTGAAAATTTAGATGCCCTGGTGAATCTAGAGATTTTAACATTATTCCATAATAAAATAAGGAAGTTGGAAAATATGGAAGCCTTAGAGAAATTGTTAGTTTTTAGCATTGGAGATAATTTGATTGAAGATTATAAAGAGGTAACAATTGTTCATTCAGCTCTTTTCAGGTTTGTGATTATCAAGCAAATAGACATATATTTTTCAAAAAACCCAAAACCAGTAACTTTTGGTTTTGGTTAAGTTTAGGTTTTCGATTTAGGGCAATTCTGTTAGTTTTTTTTTGACAAAACACAGGCATTAGTGAGACGACCGGATCATATATTGCTTCCATGTATAGGTACCAAACAAGCAGCACAGTTTCGAATCTAATATCATGGCATTTCGCACCTTAAAAATTGTGAATGTTATGGGTACTCTCATTACGGCTTAATGTCTTCCATTGTATGCAGGAGCTTGGGTAATATTGTTTTTTCACCCATTCAATGACAACCTTCGCGAAAATTATTTAATTATCAAAATTTTCGATATAACGCTGATGCTAGATTTGACAGAAAAAATATCTTATAACATTTGCGTAGATGTCGTATTTGAGGAAGTTTCGTAAGTTACGCTCGGTGAGCTTCAAAGGCAATCCGTGCTGTGACGACCCCATGGCCTATCAGTTCTTGAAATCAGCACTCGTCAGAGTGACGTTCCTTGACTACAAGATCATCACCGAAGAGGAAAGGGAAGACGGGAGAGTCTTATTCAGGTGATTCAATTTAATAATCAAAGTAGTAAAAATTATACAGATCACGCTATTTACTAAGATGCTGTTTCGCCGCGACTTCGACCGCGTAAATTATTATATGACTATGACATGACCCCGTGTATGATCTAGCTTTCCGTAGGTGAAATAATTTTCATGAAAAACAAAGTTTAAAAAAATTACCTCTTTGCAATATCTCAATGTCAATCACATTGGTCATGTCCAGAGCTTCTCAGATTTTTTGCGATGGAACATGTGGACGTCTTCCGGCTGATGATGATGATGATGATGATGATGATGATGATGATGATGATGATGATGATGATGATGATGATGATGATGACATACTTTTACTTCAACTCCGATCGTTTGCTGGAATATGACCAATATTTTCGTAAATGTTCAATAATGCATTGCCGCATTCTGAGAAATACCTTCTGGCCTAGCTAATCATCGAATCGAACGACTGTCAAGCTTATAATGTCTAGTCTTGATCCCTTATATGGTTTGACAACCTTTATAGTAGAGTGGCTCGCACACTTGTTTCAGTATCGCCATTTTTGAAGTTCTGGGTTCAATTTCCGGTCGGATCAATGTAGAAAATCAACTTCACTATATTGTCCCAGGTCTGGGTATTGTGTAACCTTTGTTGATTCAAATTTCTATAATGCAAGTGCTTTAGCTACTTTATTTGGGATCTGAGTAATATATATGTCGAATTTCATCGATTTTGATCTCTACCTTATCCTTTAAAGCCCACTTTCAAAATGTAAATCAAAAACCATTGGAAATATGTGTAAATATCTAATTCTATATTAACCGTCTTTTTAGGGGTTTACTCAGAAAGCTCGACGAGATGGATGAAAAGACGGAAAAAGAGAGACTCGCTAAAGAAGAATACGAAGCGCGTGTGGAATTCTATGCGTTGTCTTTTGTTGAGTATTTGAGTGGACCTGAGTTGCTCGAATCCATGTTTGAGAAAGACCCAGACGGCAGTCTGCTACTCCAAGTCGGTGGCGAGCTTATAGGTTTTTATGAGCAGTAAATATCGAGCATACATACAATCTTATCACATACCAGTTTTTGTTGCGACTTTGCCCATGTAAATTCAACCTATGTAACCCACATGTAATCTAGCTTCCCGTAAGTGACAAAATTTTCATGATCAGATCAGTATTGCCGAAGATTAGAAACTACATCTTTATGAGTACTTGTAGACTAGTTTAGCTCTTTAAATATTTAGAATAGGCTGGGGAAAAAAGACATTTCTTGTAACAAAATCTTACTGATTATATACCTCATTTGTATCGGGCTGATTTCGGTATCTTTAAAAGGTTTAAATTTTAAATAAGATAACTCTGAATTTAAATTAGGAAAATGTGTGATTGTAATGAAGAAATTCAATACATATAATTTAAAAATTTTAAATTTTATTACAAAAAAGGTAAAAATGCAAAGCAGGCCGCGAAAAAAATTGTGACGTTTATGGACCTAGTGTAGCTTCTGTGAGAGTAGCACAAATTTGGCAGGCAGAACCATCGGTTCTGAATTCTACTGCGAAAAACTGATGAGATTAACAAGTTGAGAGAAAGCAGCCAGAATTAATCAATAGAAGGCGTATTTTTCATTATGATAACGCTAGAACTCACACATTTTTTGCAACTCAGCAAAGAATACAAGGCCTGCCTACCGCCCCTAAGCGTGTAGACAGTGTAAGTATATAATAAGAGTTTCATTAAGAATTATATTTGCCTTCCTTTACTTTTTTCAGATATAAAGAACAATACGTAGAAACAATGGCCGGTTTGGTTGAATTTGCTCAAGAGGCTTACAATGTTCGCCAAAATGAAATCAAATTATTCAAGGATCTTGTCCTAAATGCCCTAGAAGATAGTGTCAAGAAGAGCAAAGTGTAAGTTTCAATTAAAATGTTAAGTATATGTACGAGTACTATATTATAAATGATCGCAACATAAATTTACCTACCTATATTGTACGGTTAGTAATTATTTAATTTATACCTATAAGTAAATAACTTGCAATGTGGAGTGCATCTTTAAGATTAAAACCCGGTTTCTGAATTGAGAATTTAAAGTTAAGTAAGTCTCAAACCGTACTTAAGCCATCTTAATCGTCACAGAAACTGGTTTTCGTTACTGATGTTTTTATTGCTCAGTTGATAGCACCTTTATAAAACTAGGAGTTTTTGCCATGTGAAACGTAAAAAATTAAGTTATCGAGAAAAATAAGTTGAGATTTTGTACTTTTCTCAGTTCAGGAACCGGCCGATACTGTATACAAAACAAAACTGATTGCCGAATTATTTAAATCCACATCGGCCGGAACATTTTGTGGAAGAATTTCTGATTATTATTATACATACAATGATTTGCTTTTGCATTGATTCCATACTATAATATTCTAAATACTATAATAATACCTACTATAGACAACATCACATAAATTGCTCAGATACCTATATGAGTAGCTAAAGCCTTTGTATTATAGACTATTTGAGACAACGAAGGGACCTCAATACCCAGACCCACGACAATATAAAAGTAATTTTGAACATTGATCCGACTCGGAATAGAACACGTAACCCCAGAGATGGCGGCAAAATACCTTGAAACCGGAATGCGAGTTCATCTACTTATCTAAATATTAATAGATTCCAAACTTAGGATTATTTTTAAACTATTTGTGCTTAAAATCGCCACTAGCACATTGATTAATATCCACATAGTTCTAAGAGTACAGGCATCTGTCTAACAGGCCCGGATCTACTATTTTATCAACCGGGACAAAACTTTTCTATGGCGCATTCTTACCACCGCAGCGAGTTTTACCAAATAGGCCTTCCACAATAACCCGTAATTATCAGCGGGGAGTTTGGGGAGCCCTGGTTTAAAGCTTAAGGTGCATTTCCCCTGCGTTTAAAAAAATTTTCTCAGGTCGATAGTGAGATATTGTATGGTTGCACCCGAGAAACATTTGAGTGTAGACAAAACGTTTTCGAGTTCGTCATGCTACGCGTCCAGGATAGAATACGACAAGTTAGTGAATATTAAGACTATGCAATGCAACTATATAATGATACATAACGTGATGGCAACACTGCCACATTAAAAATGGTAAAGTGGTGGTTTTTCCGCTTCTTCCCTCTCTCACTCATCAACCGTGCTCGTGTATAATGTACGCATTTGAATTATCTTCAAAATAAATAGTTACTGTGCTAACATCGGTGTTTTTTCTATTCAACGAATCAGCTACAATATACCTACTTATAACTCAACTGCTCAATTCTCTCCGACATAACGATGAATATGAATTCGTCACTAAAGAACACGTGAAAATAGTAAATTAAAACGAAATATCGCCATAACATCGCTAAAGTGTAGGCCCGGATCTATGATTTTTTCCAACCGGGGAAGAAATTTGTTTTCTTTTTTTTTCATTTGAGCACTTTGTAAGGTCTTTTTTATATTATTTTCTAACGATTTTGGTGCCCCTTGACACTATTGACACTGGCGCCCAATTCCCCCATCCCCCAGATCCGGGCTGGCTAAGTTGTCGTATCTATGGCTAGACTTATAACTATAGAGGAGTTATATTGGAGTAACAATGTCACATCACTAGAAGGATGTTACCATAGAGGAGTAAAAACGATGTAAGATGTCATCCTACTTGGTCTATGATGTCTTCCTTCGTGTGCGGTGTGTGTTAAGTAAAACGATGTGAGTCTAAATGTTAAATAAAGAAATATATGCAGAAGATTGGTTTCCGTAAATTCACTATCCTCCATCCATAACCTTCAACAGGTTATGGGCCCAGGAAACTCTTGATTGATATTGATTACTGTTGCGCGAAACACGTGAGGTTATTAAAAAGAAAGATTTTGGAGTTCGGTGGAACAGACGGAATCACGATGGACGAAAAGAGATGTGTTGTACTGAACGGCAACAATTGGCCGGTATGGAAATTCCAAATTACGGTTTTATTAAAGGCAAGAAAATTGTTCGACATCGTTAATGGAAAAAGCATATTATCAAAGGAGGCTACATCAAAAGAGAAAGAGTTATGGGAAGAAAACGATTGTAAGGCGCAGGAGATTTTGGTTACAAGGATCGATGAGCAGGTTTTGACGTATCTATCGTCATGCAACACAAGCCAAGAAATGTGGAATAGACTTATCACTGTATATGAACCTTCTTCACAAGTTAGTGTTCACTTGATTCAACAGCAATTCTTTAACTTGAAGTTTGAAGAGCCTATTTTAAAGTTCATCTCCAGAATCGAAGAAATATCAAGCCAGCTTAGAAGTTTCAATGAAGCACCATCAGACAAAATGATTATAACAAAGATACTGATGACATTACCTGAGAAATATAAGTATTTTGTAAGTGCATGGGAGTCAGTACCAGAAAATCAGCAAAATGTGAAAGAGTTAACATCGAGATTGTTAATAGAAGAGGAAAGGAGTAACAAATCTGAGGAAGGTGGGTCGGGTTCATCGGCATTCCTTATGAGAAATATCAAGAGGAAGATTTCTAACAGTGAAAGTGAGCGTAAGTGTTTTTTGTGTGGTAAAGTTGGCCACTATAAGCGTGACTGTAGGCAAAGAAAATGTTATCGGTGCAACAAAATGGGTCACATAGCTACAGAGTGTAAGCAGCCTGTTAAGTGTTATCGGTGTAATAGAGTGGGACATTTTTCTAGAGACTGTAAAACTGCAGAGATTAAAAATAAAAATGATAATGCCTTTTTGGTTCAGGAACCCTTCTTTAAAAATAGTTTTGAATTTATAATGGATTCAGGTGCAAGTGAACATATGACATATAAGAAAGATTGGCTTTCTAATTTTCTTAAAATTAATAAAAAGGTAATTGTTGGGGATGGTAAATATTTAAATGTAGAGGGAATTGGTAATATTAAGTTTTTGGCATTTGATGGAACAAAGTATTTACCTTCTGTAATGCATAATGTTTTGTATGTTCCTGATTTGAAAGCAAATTTATTTTCTGTAACAAAAGCAATTGATCATGGTTATATGTTAAAGTTAAGTAAAAATTACTGTAAATTTATGTCAGATAAAACAGTTGTTGCTCAAGCCAAACGAGTTGGAAATTTGTATTTAATGGATTTTAGAATTCAATGTTTATTTGATAGTTCTGTATTTTTGAGTTTATCTGAATGGCATGAGAGGTTAGCCCACCAAAATTTAAGACATGTAAAAGAGATATTAAAAAGACAGAATATTAAATATGAAGGGCAGATTGATTATTGTAGGTCTTGTATACAGGGGAAACAGCATAGGTTACCTTTCTTTGACAGTAATAGCCGTGCGAATCGACCTGGAGAGTTGGTGCATGCAGACTTATGTGGTCCAATGGAAGTGCGTTCATTGGGAGGGTCTTCATATTTCTTATTGCTTAAGGATGACTACAGTAATTACAGGTATGTGTATTTTCTTAAAAGTAAGTGTGAAACGAAAGAGAGAATTAAAGTTTTTCTTATGCAATTTGAGAATGAGTTTGAGTGTAAGGTTAAAAGACTTAGAACAGATTGGGGAGGTGATGATGCAGACAGGAAATCCACATCAGGATTCATTATGAAGGTATATGGTTGTACAGTATCTTGGGCATCATGTAAGCAACAATGTGTTGCATTATCTTCTACAGAGGCCGAATATGTAGCTCTTGCAAAAGGTATTATGGAGGGATGTTGGATAAGAAATTTAATGAAAGAACTTAATTTTGAATGTAACAATGTAACTATTTTTGAGGATAATCAATCTGCAATTCATATAGCTAAAAATCCAGAACATCATAAGAGACTAAAACACATAGATTTGAAATTTCATTTTATTAGGGAGAAAGTAGAGAAGAATATTGTTATGCTAAAATATATTAAGAGTGAGGATCAAATAGCTGATGTTTGTACTAAGCCATTAAGTAAATTGAAGTTTGAAACTTGTAGAGCTAAATTGTTTTAAAGTTTAAGTAAGGAATAGAGAAGTGTTAAATTTAATATTTAGTTTTAGTGATGTAACATTGAGGAAGGGTATTGGAGTAACAATGTCACATCACTAGAAGGATGTTACCATAGAGGAGTAAAAACGATGTAAGATGTCATCCTACTTGGTCTATGATGTCTTCCTTCGTGTGCGGTGTGTGTTAAGTAAAACGATGTGAGTCTAAATGTTAAATAAAGAAATATATGCAGAAGATTGGTTTCCGTAAATTCACTATCCTCCATCCATAACCTTCAACAAGTTAGTGGCTGACACAATAACTTAATAGGAATATAGAACGAGCCATAAACCAGCATTCGCACCTAACACAGGTGGGACTTAGACGAGACCAACATGATATTAATTTTAATCAACCTGCTTAATTTAGGGTAGTCGAGAACTTTGAAGAAAAGAAAAAACCATTGGTGACTACGCTGAATGAATTGATCCAGAAGTTCACATCGAAGCAAGCTACGATAGAGCAACTAGAGCCGTTATTGGTAGACCTCGGGGACGCGTTCAACGATATTTTGTACGATCTCTGGAAGAATCTTATGACTATAGAGATGCAGCTCTATGAACAATGTGAGGTAAAAAAGGCTACAATAAGAATACAACAGAAACTTCTTTATTTCTTTTAGATTATTATATAGATTGTCATTTGTCAGACATCTTTTTATCTTGTTGAACATTTTAAAATATTTTGCGACAATATCTGGTTTTCACTAAAATATTTATAGAGGTTCTTTCTTGAGATCTTGTTTCTTTACTTTTACTATTGTAGATATATATTTCTATTGTAAATATTGTACAAAGAAATCTCAGATAACATACTAAAACTTTTTACTTTAAATGTAACCAACTCAAAACAGCGTCTTGCGTCAATAGAAGTTTCTTAACGGCTTTTTCCAATCCCAAGAACATAAGAGTTCCCTTAATAAGTAGGTACGTAAGTTTAAATTTTCAGGAGTCGCGAGTCCAATTTGCAGTAAACATGACCGAAATGATCACAAAATTATTAGAAGTTTCTCGAAATGCGTTTGGTGCGTGGCGAGAGAATGAGGGCGTGTGGTCGATGCGGCAATTCGAAACGTTGTCCAAATTACTCGGAAACAAGATCATGCTTGGTGACGCACCGCCTGAACTCTTTGAGGTAGGTTATTTTCCGCAAAATCATTTTAAACTGTGTATGGTTTTGGTATTTATAGAAATAGGAATAGAAACATGCAATAGGAATTATAGTATAGGTAGTATATTATAATTAGAGTATAAAATATCCAGAAAACCTATGAAATCACGAGTCTAATTTACGAACCACTATATTCTGAAGGTTTTCACGAAACTACATAATTTCAATCCGGTAGTTTGAATTTAAACGATCGCAGTTGCCGCTAATAATTGTGGCGATATTAAATGATGTAGATATGGTATTCAGTGGTGGACTAACCAGGGGATTTAAATCAAGGGACCGAGGCGGCATCAGGCCCGAAGAAACTTGGTAATGTAATTACCTACCCCCGTAGACAAATAAGTAAGCTACAGTCTGTGTCTACGGCGTCTCCAACTGCCCAGTCCACCACTGAATGTATTTACATTCTGAATTATACGTATAACAGGTGATGATGGATAGGGATATGATGATGAATCTCGTGGCACAATCATCAGACAATCACTCACGTTTCATTGACACCAGAGAGGACTTGCTTATGACACGAGCTAATAAATGGCGTGACGACCTTGTTCAAGGTGCCAATGAGTAAGTACTATATATATTATATTTTAGAGATCGCAAAATTACAGCGAAAAAATAAATTAAGAAAATAAAGAGTCGAATTCATTGAAATCACATCAGCATACGTAGCAAATGTGGATTCGGCATAATATTATATTATAAATAGACAAAAAAATTCTTAACAGTTATTAATATTCGATTCCGATTCCAGCAATGAGATAAAACGCAACAGAGACAGAGTGCTGGAGATCAATTATTTCATAGATAATCAACGAGAAGAGTGGACAGACATGCAGATGAGACTCACAGAAACAGTGGATCCTGAGACCGCAGCCTTATTTGGAGAGGACTTTTAGTCTTCTACCTTCTTCTAGATTATAATGACTTATGATTTAATTATTTTTTATAAATGAAATATATTATTACGAGGTATATTGTTTTATAACTGACCCTATACTTTCTCGCAGCATGTTTACCATGACTTCTTAGAATTTCGTAGTAGAGAGACTCGTTTAACGGCGTTAAAGTATCGTCATTTCTGAGGTTCAATGTAGAATGGTCAATGTAGAAAAAACATATTAATAGGGTCTTGGACTGTATTAGCAAAATGGTAGTTTGGTTGAATTAATATAATTTTTAACTTTAAAAATAATTATTTTTGATGTCGAAATCACATTTTCTGAAACATACCTGACGTTAAAACTCGCTGTCACTTTCAGAATTACCAGAATCCGTTTATTTTATATAAATTTGTATATAAAATATGTACCTAAAACACACTGCGTTGGTACGGCAAAAGCAAAACTATTAATTAATTTAAAAATTGCAATATGTGTACTTTTAGGATTAAGTTTGTGGAAGCTGTAGTACTTGTAGCTGTAGTTAGTGATAGTAAATATATTCTATTTATTAAAAGATTTACTGTGTGTTATTATAAAAATAACCAGTAGAAAGTTCCTTCCCTAAGTTATTTTCAATAATTTTGTCAATTTAATCTGGTAACCCATCATCATAAGTGACGTCACGCACGGACAATGACAGGTGTGTACAGAAGTCTTCGCGCCGTATTTAAAAGTAAAACTATTATTTTTTCTTAACATTATATTTATTTTTGGGAATTAAATGATACACTTGTGTAAAAACCTTATTAAAGTCATAGCCTCTCAAGTTTGGTTGTGTGGAACGGTGTGTAGAATAGCACGTCAGTTTTTAGAAATGTCAAATTTCCCCTCTGGATTTTAAACCCTAATACATCGAGGGTACAGGTCAAAATTGACATATTGTGGTAAAGCCGCATACCTTCGTTATTCCAGATTTTCATAATTTATCACTGTTGTAATAAATCCCTAAGTTATCTATAACTGGGATGAATTATGGACAGATTCCCTTAATGCTGTCATATTATTCAAAACTCAATTTTTTGCACCGAATTATATATATATTATATTATAATTATATTATAGAGTTTCGAATAGATTTATGGAAAGTTTTGCATGTTGCACATTTGGCACATACTGTTAACATAGATACATTTTGAGTGGAAAATAATACCAAATATTTGGAAAGGGATCGTCCTACAATAAAAATCGACTTATATTTACAAATAATTTATTACTTGTAAAAATTATTTAAAAGTTCAAAATGTCTATCCTTAGAAAATAGATAATACTTACCTAAGTATATGAACCAATAACGGTATGTCATACAATATGTAATCATGGGTATATATTAATTTCATAACAGTCTTTTAATATCATAAATTTTGTATTATACAATGATATCCAGTATTCTCTGGGAATTTTATTCATTTGCCCATCATTTCAATAATTATAAAATGTATTTATCGTTTTAAATACCTTCAGGGTTATAGAGGAATATTCACTATTTTAAATATTATAAATCAGTGATTCATAATCTTTTCCTAACTTTTACTCCTATGACCAATTAGGAAAATTGACTTCATCCGAACTTTAATAGGTTTTTAATACAAATATTACAAGTTAATACAGATATTAATAACTGATGGTTATTATCGTTTTGCATTCACCAGTTTTAGAAGTAGCAATAATAATAATATTGGTCTTAATTTTTAGTTTCCCATAGAATAGGTGATTTACCCCCTTAGGGGTAAATACCCTAGATTAGGAACCACTGTTACAACTAATTACTTAGCAGCTTTCTGCTTGAGCATCGCCATGTACATTTCTAAAGATTGTTGTACTATAGGACTATTGACAAATTGTAGGAACTCCTTTAGATCGGCCTCCCGGTTCTTATTGAGCCAGCTAAGGGCGCGGGACCTTACTTTTTGTTTGGTGTAGGACCGAGCGAGGGGCGGGATCTTGTCGAATCTCTCTATGAATTGTTTGCATTTAGCAACAGCATCGTCCTTGCCAGATGCAGTTTCATCTATAAGGCCCACCTAAAAGTAAATATGGTTTTTTGTACTGTTTAGTATATTTTGATTCGTTATTGTATCATACTTTGGGTTTCAACAATGTAACTTCATTGCACAACTATAGGATTCATTGTTCCGTAATATTAGAAACTATCTGGGGTAAAGCATTAATATGTAACATAATCATCATCATCATCAGCCCTTTTACATCTTCACTGCAGGGGCTCTGGCCTGGCTTAACCACCATGCTGGCTTAATGCGGATTGGAGGGTATTATTAACTGCAAACACAGCTGGGACCAACGGTTTAACGTGCCTTTCGAAGCACGGAGTAGCTTGAATATATATTTATTAGGTCACCCATCCTGTGTCTGTTCCTTAACAACTACAATACGACCCATGGCGCTTATCCACTATATCACCGAGTTACTCGAATTAATAGTATATTAATTTAGAAATAGTTGTAAATATACCTTCAGAGCCTCATCAACTGTAAACATCTTGCCTGTCGTAAGAGCTATTTCAGCCTGCCTCTGTGGAATTACACTAGTTAGTGAATCCATAAACCACATTGGTGCAACAATGCCCAGTGCTGTCTCGTTTAAGCCGATTGTGTACTTGCCTGTCGCCATCACCCTGTACTCACATGAAATGGATAGAAGGCAACCACCGGCTGGGGCATGTCCCTGGAATCATAAGAAGATGAATTCAATCACTATAATCTCATATCATCATATTTGCAGTTTTTGTTTAGTCAAAGCAAGCCCACCAATTCCGACGACAATATATTATTAACAACGAATCTTGATTCAATAATTATAAAATCCAATATAAAATTACTCCACTCTATTCTAAAATTCAATGCGTTATGCCTATTTCAATACAAGCTAGCCAACAAATAACATGATTTAATGCTAATCCACAACTTGTGGGTTAGCATCAATTAGTTATAATAACAGATATAATAGAATGAATTTGATTGGTCAATTTATCAACTGTATCTTAGTTACAATAACAAGATCTTTCTACTTAAACCTAATCAGTATAAAACTAAGGTTTTTTCATAAAATTTACAAACTTTTCTTATTATTTCTATGCCATTAAGTATTGAAGTTCATACAGCAGAAGTTACAGGCACAGATATTTGTTTAGCAACAATGCAGCTATGCAAAAGTAAGCATATTATTACTTGGTCTATCCATAACCAATAATACCCAATAATTAAAAATCAACAGGAAACCTATTTGGAAAGATATCATTATTGATAGCTTATATGTTTATCAATTCAATTCACTTACATTTATAGCTGCAGCTGTGGGATATGTGGAACCAAATAATTTTAACCAAACTCCTTGTAATGTGGTCCAGAATAACTCAACTCGTTTAGGATCTGGTTTGTACATTTCCATTATATCTAAACCAGCTGAAAATACTGTTGGAGAGGCCTACAAATAAAATTGACAAAATAATGTAAGCATGGCAATTAAGAATTCCATTTCTATAAGGTGATTTGGATCCTATAATAATAAATTTGGACAAGGTCTTGGAATGGTTAAAATTTTTGCACCCATATATGTTTAATCCTCATTGGTACCTTCCAGTGGCCATGACAGCTATGATTTACTAGGTTGTACAAAACTTACAGATGCCAGGATCATTCCTTTTGATTTATTTTTGCCAACATCAACAAGAGCTTTATCTAACTCTTGGAGAAGTTCAAGGTTAAGGCTGTTGACCGGAAGTCGCTGCATTGTCACTATTGCTATGCCATCACCATCAACTGCAACATCTACCAATGGTCCAGCTTTTGCTGACATATGTCTTGCGGTGGGCATCGCTCTTTTGACATTATTACAAATTAGTCTGCATAGGGACGCCACTGCAACAATTAATAATTGAGCTTACAAAGCCAATTTATTTCGTTGAAAAAACAAATAATAAAAAAAATGTGTATAAGGTTTAACAAATTACTGTAAATTTACCATAATGTTTATTATTATAATTATATAAAATATAAAACAAGTTCTTTTTTAGTTTATTTATTAAGTAATTCGAAAACACACATGGTTATATAAATCTGACAATTTTTTTACAATTTAATATAAACTCTAATACTTATGCCATGCCTTATGCCTTGTACATTATGTCAAATTTCTGGAATTGACTTTGAACTCTATGTTTAAAGCACTAAAGTAAAAAATCAAGAGTAGAATTTTTGACAGTTTTGAATAACTTGACTTGCTGTTGACTGTACTATGAGTTTGTACCCAACATGAAAGGGAACCAGCTGTTTATTTGTTAATATATTGCTTCTGAGATCGCAGATCAGTTTCAATCAATTGGTTTCAATGGTCAAGGTCGAAAAGCAAAAAAGGCCATATAAAATAGCTCCAAAAACTTACTTTTAAGATTAAAAAGTCACTTAAAGAGCGTACACTAAATTTTATATGTAAAATTCTAATTATTGAACTGGTCAATCAAACCACAAAAATAATCCATAAAAAATGTACTACTGCTGAACCATCCTGAACCTTGGACCGCAAAAATAAACAATTTCAATTTGGAGGTAAGGGATGCGCCTGATTAATTCTAAATTCGATGTTTTGTTTTTCAGTAATCATCGAAACAATTCGTAAAACTATTTACAACTATATAAATGTTCTCAACTGCATGTAATGCACGATACTAATCTATGATATAATGGTTTTAACATTTAAGAGATCGATTTTGTATTATAGACTATTTTATTGCAATAAATAAGTTTTGAAATAACAATACCGATTTAAAAATTTGTGGTTTCCCACCCCATAATGACAAATTAGAGTTGACATTAAAGTGACATTTGTTTTAGGGACAAATGTTTCGTATAAAAACCTTCTTTATATTTTACGATGATCGTCATTAGATAAACTTTATTAAAATAATTTCTTGAATAAAGCCGAAACAGAAGTTTCATTTTTATTTTCGTTATTTCATCAATTAAGCCTTGAAAATGAACTATCTAAATAAGATTTTTACTGGCGGAACCCTTACAGGATTACTTTATTGTTCGTCTGTCAAGCATCTTATCTCAGGAACGCGTGAATTTATTAAGGTAAAATTTATAGCAATTTCTCAGGTCTACTATCTCTTGAAAAAAAAAAAGTTTTATTACAAAATACAGCCGTTTATTAATCAAAACAGAATACTTCCTGTTAACTCAAAATTTTGTAATTTGGTACGAAGCAATGTCTTATAAATGTTACGACTTAGGGTTCGGGATACAAATTAACGCCAAATATAGTTCACAATCAGATTTTATTGAGCGCAATAAAATTACATAAATAATCCAACCAAAAATTCATACTTCAACTTCACTATTTCACGGCACTAATAACACTTCACAATACTATTAGATCGTCCTGATAGTTTTTACCCGACTGCGCGACGTAAAGGACAGTAATGTGTTTATCAGTCTATGTATGTATGTAGTCAGAGACCAAATGCGTAGGCCGATATTGATGATTCTTATGTCAATCGATTCGTCTTAACCTTGCGAGTGTTACTAAAGACATGATAGTAATCAAAATTCACCACAACGACAACCAGACGCCATCTTTTCAACATAAAAGATAATAATAATAATAACTATGTCCAGTGGGGTGTTGTTCAATAGGTATTTTAAAATCATCTTGAGATTCCTTTCATCATTTTTCATTTTAAATAATAGTTAAGGATTTAAAATTATTCAACAAACGATATTAACTCCCTCAATGAAATGACTATATTGCAAAATTTATCATCTTATAACGAAGTCGAATCGTAACTAACAAGTTTAAAACAAAAATACATAATTTAAAGAAAAACAAAAAACCTGACTGCGTAAAAACGAATTTTAAAAAATAAATGAAAAAAAATATTTATATAAAAACTAAAAAGAAAGATATGGAGGAAGGGTGCTACGTGATGCCCTTTAAAAAGTGCGGCCATTATCCTGAGTGGGTAGCGGACGGAGACGGGGGTTGACCTGAGGGGTCAGAGGGGGTAGGGGCGGGATCCGCCTGCTTGGCCTCCAGGAAGAGGTCCAGGTTGGCGGAAAGTTTGGACGGAGGATCGGTGAGAACCGATTTATGGGCTTACGGGCGAGAGGGGAGGAGGAGTACATAGTCCGAGGCAGAACGGATGAGGAGATTGGAGTGATCCTCTGCCGCTTTGAAGAAGCGTTCAGAGGCTTTGATGCACCACTGTTAAATAGTGGGAAGATCGAGGTCCCTATGTAGATTGGCATTGCGGATGTAGTAAGGGACGTTTGCCGTCCTTGTGGAATTACAATTTGTAGAGGACTTTAGGGTCGGCGTGAGCAAATACGGTAGAGGCGCACGTTATCACCGAACGTATACAGACCTTGAATGTTCGCTTATTTCGGAGGGACATTTTGCTATGTCGGCCCAGCATAGAGCTGAGTTGAAATAGAAAACGTCGTTTGTGTTGGCTGTTTGTGTGACTCTATTGATGTGAGGAACAAAGGAGAGCCTTTGATCGAGCGTCACGCCGAGGTATTTGGAGGACTTTTGCCAGGGAATGCGTTTACCTAGCATTCTAGGCGGAGGGTATTTGGGGGGGGGGGACGTCGCTTAGCGTTCCAGCTTCACTTCGATACGCCATTTGCGAAACCAATCGCCTAAGGCATCAATGGAAGATTGAAGCCTGGGAAGGATATTGGGTAGGCATGAGCCCCGGTATTACAGAGCCGTATCGTCCGCGAGGAAGGAGAGTTCCATTCCCTTAAGGGGAAAGGGTATGTCGTTAGTGTACACTATACTAGGTGGAACAGGACGACCGACACTCCCGAGGTTCCTGGAGAGTACTATTTGTCTTTAATATGATGTAAAAAAAAAAAAATAAGTTTAGGTCAAATAGTTTCGGAGATATTTTGAAAAAAATTAGAGTTTTCAACCCTGAGTCAGCTGTTTTTGGGACGTACTAAGGAAAAGTTTTTAATCGGTCATTGACTTCTTCATTTCTAAAAACGAAATAAACTAGTTTGTGATTTATAAGACTGCTTTTATGCAAATTCTACCAGACAATCAATAAACAAGGCAGTCAAAATGCTTTTATCAATTTACAGACTAACAGCCGGTTTCTGATTTGAAAAAAGTAGAAAATTTCTTCTGCTTATTCTCAATAACCTAAGTTTTTTTAATTCCACAAGTCAAATAGTCCTAGTTTTATCAAATTGCTATCAACTGATCATCAAAAAACTAAAATCGGAAATGAAAACTAAGTGATGTTAGTTTGAGACGTTTAAATTCTCAATTAAGAAACCGAGTGTATAATTTCCTAATTTATTGTAGAGAGATCAGTCTAACATTAACCTACGTTATTTTAAAAGAACAGGTCTCAAAAAAATGTTTGAATGGGGTAATACTCCTTTAACAACAGGATCGTTAATTAAACTCGATAAACTCACAAATCTTCCAGCGATTTATCATTAACACAAATGAACTTTGTTTTAAAAACATTGAGAAATTTGTTATTAAAATAGCATTTAAAAAGAACATTAAAAATGCTTGATATCAAAAGACGAATAAAAAAAATGTGAACCGAGTTCGTCCCTCGACATCGAAGCCCCACCCACCCGCCAGCCGCCAGGCGGCTTCATTATTCTGTCGGTATTTTCCGGCCGATCAGTCGCCGCCGACCTTATGCGAGTGTTGTTGCGCATCGCCGCCGACGCACCGCTGCGAAGCGTCTTTTTTGTCTTGTTCTAGTGCATTTTTAATTGAATTTTTGTTAATAAGATAGTAGAGTGTTCGTCTTGAGTGTTAAGTTTAGTTCAGTGAAGATTGTGTTTAGTTTTGTGTGAAATGTGATGTGTTTTGGGCGTGCATGCACCGGCATTGAAAAGAGCGTGCTTAGCTCAGTCTTCAGAGAGGAAGTGGATACTTTCAGCATCGACTATCATTAAGATATCGGTAAATAATTAAATTAAATTGATGTATTTCGCGGTTCGATGTAATCTGCACACATTCGATTTTGCGCATGCGCGTTATAGGACTGTCAACACTTAGAAATTTAAAATTTTTACTCCGTTTTTACACCTCCTCTATTTTTAAATATTTGTCAAATAACAAGAACGTTTGCATGTAACCTTACTTGAAACTTTCGGCTGTGTCGGTCATTTTGTTCCTCCCAGTATACAGGAGGGGCGCCTAGGGTTCCCTAGGACGAGGGAGACCGGGCGACGATTGGAGCCTAAATCATCGAGTGAATCGATTGATTTAAGTCGAAGAGAGACACCCTTCATTAGCACAAAGTCTAATATGTCGGGGTCGTGGTCAAGGACATAACGATAGTGAGTGTGGGAGTACGGGGTGATGACGTCTTACTCGAGGGTTTCGAGTATATTTTTCAATACTCTGCCACCCCGGTTAGTTTTGAAGCACGACCAATCGATGTGCTTAGAGTTGAAGTCGCCAGAGATTTGGATAGATAGCGGAGCCGGCCTCTATGTAGACTGAGGCTATGATGAGGGTACGATGACCCGTCATAGACAATCTACATACAGTGGCTTGCATATTGACGAGAGGGGTGGGGAGCGGAGAGCAATTGAGTGCTCTTATAGTAAATAGCGGTACCGCCGGAAGCGGTCCCACCGGGAGGAATGTGCTTATTGTTTCTCAAAAGAGTGTAAGCGGGGGGAATGGTTTTTACCTTAGGAAGGGCGGGGAAATTTGCCATGGTAGAGGGGGGGGGGGGGGTGTCAAAGTTACCTTTTGGATCGCCGGGCTTAAAAATGGCCTTAAAAATGTTGCACGCGTTTGTGACATTAGGGAGGATGAGTAGGGCCAGAGGGAAGGGTTTCCTAGCCCAACTGCGCATTTTATGAACAGACTCCACTGGGAAGCCTTGTTCATTTAGATCCTTTTGGATCTGATTGGTCATAGTGTACCGACTCAAATCCATTCAATTTTACAAACTGGCGTCGATCCTTTAGATAGCTAGCAAAAAATTGCAAAAGTTTGGGGGCATAACCTATTATATAACTTATATACATTTATAAATAATAATTCTTTAATAAATAAAATAATTGGTTTTCCACCGGTTAAGACAAAGTTTAGGTAATTTTCAAAACATAAAAATAAATTGCTTAGAATATTTCATAAAGTATATCTCGAAATCGAAAAAATATAGAATGTTGTATAGTTCAAAAAGGTTATTAATATCAGCCTGTCACTGGTTGCTAACAACACTTTGTTATTAAACATTCTTAGTCGAATTAGGCGTTAGTATAGGTACTATTTCATCTGTCAACGTTACTTTAATTATTATCAATGTTACTTTAATTTTTGTAACATCTTAATACTACTCGTACATTGTGGTATACAATAATAATGAATAAATATCATAATCTATCATTATAGGTATAATGTATTTGCAACAGATTAGCACTAAAAATATTATATTTACTGTCGTACAATCTTATCCAATAAGCTTGGTTTTTGCTGTAAAACCTATTTCAAAATGGAAACGTAATTTCTATTATAAAAAATAAAATCAGAGCGTGTATGACACAAATCAATGAATCTGTAATCGAAATCTCTTATCGATGTGGTGCGACACGATTTAGGGTTTGCTGAGATGTGTCAAAAGGGACTTTTAATTCCTATCAAAGAGCAGTATTCTATCACAGACTATACATACCTACTAAGTTTCTGATAATCTGTTTTTAGCGAAATCCACAAGGGCAACGCCATTAATTAAAAATTAAAAAGGAGAAGAAGAATGAATTTATTTTGAAATCTACCCCTGAAAGTGTGAGAAGAGAAGATATCTTGGAATTTTTGTATATTGAATGAACAATTGAAATATATCGAAGACGCCGTATAATTACTTGAGAGTATGATATAAATAACTTCCACTTAATTGGTCAAAATAATTTTACAACATGTCTTTGGAACAAACTGCTTGTGATGGTAATATTTATTTTTATGAAACTTATGAAGTTCATTATAAATCTTACAGTGCATGAATATCGCTTGGTTTAAATTAATTAATCACTTAGTACCTAATTGACTTAGCTTTATGCAGTAACTATGTTTTGAAATTTTAGTTAAATATGTGGATCATAGTTTATTTTAAAGGTATTTCCATCAACATACTACAGTAATATCTTTTTAGATTTGAAGGCATTTGAGCGTCGACTGACTGAGGTTATTGGTTGTTTGCAGCCAGCAACCATGAGATGGAGAAGTAAGTTTCATGACAATTAATTTTTATATGCTTGATCTATAGTTAATAGTAGTTTTAGGCCGTACAAACCCCTAAAATCACTCCTTTTCGAACCCTAGGAAACAGATTTTGACCTCATGGACCACTGTGGAATCCTTGACATGGATTAGTTATGAAATTGATACTAAAGACATCAAAAATTGTCCTGAAATGTCATTGACATAGCTTTCCGCAGGTGAAAATATTTCCTAAAATCAGTCCAGAAGTTTTAGAGTTTTGGAGCCTATTCAATTGTAAACAAACAACCAAATCTTTTCACTTTATAATATAATTAATCTCCAATTTATTTTCAGTATTACTAGCAGTAGTGTCTGTCTGCACTGCAATGGCTGCCTGGCATTGGCTCACTGATCCACTGACTCCTGTTGTTTCATTAACACAATCACTGTGGAATCATCCTTTCTTTGCCTTCACATCTACTTTATTAGGTCAGTATACTTCTAAATTTAAATCTAATTTATATTGGTTTTCAATTATTGCTCTATAAAATTTAGCTGCATTTGTTAAGTAAAATAAATATCAAATAAAGTTTTTTAATGCATTTAGATTGAAAATGGGTCAAATCCAAATAACCTATTGTTTTTTAGAACCTATTTGAGCTGATAAAGGTATGATTCCAATCTCTGCAGCACAAAGCTAAAGTAGTAACAATTACTGCATCATTGCTGCTGCTTTATTGCTGTGGAGTTTGGAATGTAATCTCGTATAAACCTATACCAGCTTAATATGAATCTAGGATTAAAGTTAGTACTAGGTTTAACTAGGTCCACACATAAACCAGTTTATCAGTAGACTGTAAACCAGTGTATTAGTAGTTGATAATAAATGGTCTCAAAAGGTTAGTTTATTCAACACCTCACCTATTAGTGTGTACTTCCTGTATTGGGTCATACTGACCACCAACACCGAGTTGCGAATAAGCAGTAATTATCTTTTTGATTAGTGCTGTATCTGTATTGATTATAGATCTTACTAATAAATTTCGGTATTCCCGACGCATTGCCAGGGAATTAGTTACCTTTGTTGTGCTGTATTGTAGAACGTTGCGAAAGTCAGCCTGTTAATTGAACGGCGCCATTCAATTAAATGGCTAGTCGACCAAACGAACTAATATTTTAACCAGTTGGCTGCAACATATATAAAGTAATATTCTAAGTATACTCTTTTGTTTCCAGTGTTACTGTTTATGATGGGTGTGCACAGAAAAGTAATCGCTCCGAGTATTATCACAGCTAGGACCCGGTCGGTCCTTAATGATTTTAATATGTCATGTGATGAAACTGGAAAACTCATTTTAAAACCTAGACCAGCTAATAATTGAATAATTTAGTCAACAATTTCTTTAACTGAGTACTTTGTAAATATATTTTTGCTTAAGAATAAAAGACTTTGTTTGTTTGTGTTAGGACTTTAGAATAAAACATCAAGAGTTATAAGTCTATTAAAGTTTATTTATCATAACTTTGGTGTATTTATTATATACAATAAATAAGAGATGTAAATAAAAGCAGGAATATTATACAAACCATTTTGAATATTCAACAAAAACATATTAGAGATGGAACAACATTTACATAACTCTATATTATTTTTTAGTTTTCACTAGATAATTTGCTAAATATTTAGCTACACTAATAAACAAATTAACTGTTACAAGGTGAAAATAATGAATTTTACGCCTTTTAAAAATTCACAATTTTTGTTACTTAAAACTAAGCGTATTATTTTAAGCAACTGATTTTAGTTTATTTGTGTGCATAGTTTAGACTCTACATGGAGTTTATTTAATTTGAAATCAAATGCAATATTTTTAGTTACATCAGTGAAAAAATAGTATATTTTAGAAAATCATAAAAGGCTGTTGTGGCGCCTACAATTAGGGCCAGTTTCACCGGTTACTGATAAAGTTTCAGATAGTTATCTGATAGTTAACGCTATCTACCGGATAAAGGTTGCTGTTAACTTTTTTCTGTTTCACCATCAAACTGCTAGATAATTTATCTGGCAGATAAGTTATCGGCCACTTATTAGTTGACGGAACGGCAACGTCGCTTTTTTGCGTTTCAATACTACGACCCAAATTATCGTCAATCAAAAATCATTTTTAAAACTTAATTAATATATTTTTTTTATGTTCAATATTATTTAAGTAAACTTTTTTCACATATTTTGAATTATAATTTTATGATTCTAGAATGAAAATAATACGATATTCGTATACTTAGCTACGTGTTTACAGAAACGAAACGCAACTGTCATATGTTTTGCTTTGTTGATATTTTGTGCTTAAAATCTTTCATTCATTTCATTTTCATATTTCATGTAAAATTAATTTATTTACTTGACATTGGCAGAATTGTGCGAAATGCGCAGATAAGCCATTAATTAAAAAAAAAAGAAGAAGAAGACGCTTTTCATTTTTTAAACTTTTCTTTGTGTATTCTTTTCGTATTTGTTAATTAATAATGGAAAAACAAAAACGTGAAAGAAGTGTGAATTTTAATCAAGAAGAAACGGAGCTTCTTTATTTTTTACTTAGTAGCCCGTTGTAGTTTTTATATCACTTTCTATTAACGATAGAAATATAAACAACAGCCCGTTTGGTAAGCCGAAATCGATTCCTAAAAATCTTGATCGTCAAGTGATTCTAAATAATTAGGTCTAGGGTTAATTACTCGATTTCTACGGGGTCGCGTAATATGTTCGAAATATTCATCTAATTCGTCTTCTAAAAACTCAAATAAATCCATTTTAGAATATTTGTGACACTCGTGACTGCAATCGACGCAAAGCACACAATAATGGTCTAAAACTAAAACTATTTTCGTTCCCGCTACTTGAAACTTTTTTTTATCTATCAGATAACGTCTATATCAGCCACTTGAATCGGCTGATAACATATCTAACACTTTATCTGCCAGATATTTTTATCCGAGACCTGTGAAACCAAAAGTTATAGTTTATCTGGCAGATAAGTTCCTGATAGACTATCAGGGACTTTATCAGCAACCGGTGAAACCGGCCCTTAGTCTTATATTATATTAACAAAAGCTATCAATTCCTACATAAACAGTAAAGAATAATTTTTATAAGCATATCTAAATGCAATTACGAGATTAGCTTATCTTAAATTTGGTTTATAACAGTCAATTTTATCGCGAGATTTAGGAACGTTTTGAACAGAGGCGTAGCTATCGCCATATCAGCCGTATCATGACATGATATGGGGCCCCAGGGGCACAGGAGCAACAAAAGTGAGCAAAGGTTTGTAAATTGATATCCGCAATCTTACTGAAATTATATGCAATTAATTATATCATTCTTACAATGATATTAAAACAATAGGGTAGTTTCGGGAGCGAAAAATAAAACTATGAAATAAGACAAAAATGTCACATGATTATGTCATAAAATTTAGGTTTTTTAACAGTTTATCACGTGACTCTATTGTGATTGCAATGATGAGACGTCATGTTACCAAAAATATTATGTATCTGGCAGGTTAGTCGTAAACAATTTATTTTATAGCCCTAGATGGCGTTATTCTGATCTTATATATTTTTTTAGTAGCCAGCCGTCAGATGGTATTTGCGTCTACATGATATTCTATATTCTATTAAAAAATATATGCAGATATTTTTATCTAAGCATCTGTTTTGTTTGCATATCAATATGACGTCATGAATAAAGCACAAAATTTTTCGCAAATACTTCATACGTTGCTTTAATTTTAAGGCAAGAAAACATATGTACTTTGTCGAAAACCTTTTTGCTGTCTTATCAAATTTTACAAGTACTTTTTCTGACAGAGTAGAATATTCTAAAACTCCCCGTGGAAAACTACGCCACTGTTTAGTCATGTACCACTAATTCCATGCAATACACATTGACTTTTTTTTTAATACTGTATTCAATTTCTCATGAAGTTGTAATATCACAAAATCTTTATAAAATGAGGAATGACAAAAACCACATTCATCTTCGCAAACATTTTCAATAATTAAACATAATTGTGCCAACTTTATTGTGCATAATATCAATCACTATTTACTTAATAGTTGTGCTAAGATGTGATTAACAACAATTAAACTCATTTAAAACTATAATAATTATGAATTCTTATATATAGGAGAAGGAGGACAGTTTAGGACAGGGGCAGTATTATTCGGTTTATGAACGTATCCTTTATCTTTCCTAACTTTCAAAAGCGTTTTAATTTTAGAAACATTACTATTTTATAATAAATACTTTATAGGTTTGGAAATATAAAGTATGCATCCGTAAATCGAGTAATTACAATTTGCTCTATATTAATGTTCATATTCTAAACTGCCCTACCAGTTCCCTGCTTATAAATATCATCTAATCTTCTAAGTGAAAATATCTATGCTATTAAACATCAGTAATTCAAATACGTAATAAAAACAATGTTTCTATTAGACTACCAGCACGCGTAGCATGACGAACTCGAGAATGTTTTGTCTACACTCAAATGTCACTTTTCTCGGGTGCGCCCACGCGATATTTCACTCTCGACCAGAGAGACTGACAAATGAGTGTAGACAAAGCGTTTCTCGAGTTTGTCGTGCTACGCGTGCAGAACTTTGAACTGAATTAAAGTCACTTGGATAAGACAATAAAGTTTTACAAAATATCAAGGAGCTATTTATATTGTATCATTTAAAATACATAGACGTTTCTGAGCGGCATATCCTATACAACATTTTTTTAAAATATATAACCTATCAGTAAACGAAAGGATTTAATTTTTAACACGGAATAAATATCATGCAATAATAAAAACGTATGTAACTGCACTTGATGCATTATATTTTATCTTAAATTTCAATCTAAGTATATATACTTATTATTGAGAACATATAAAAACTTTTATTTAAAAATCATTACATATAGTTAATATCAAGGCAGTGGTTTACGCTTCAATTTTACATTTATTGGGTAAATTTTATAATACACGGTAATTCTAATATATAGGTAGAACACCATGAAATCTTGACGCGATCCAAGCGCCGTTGTTGAAGTAAGACACAGCTATACACATTATATATTACTTATTCCGCTTAGATCATTACAATTGCAGCGTCTCAAGAATTTATGGTGGCCTAAGACAGGATCCAACGGTTTGTCGTGGACTTTATTTAAAACGGTATCTAGTCAATCTTATTTATATAAACACTTTCTTAAACAATACTTTCCGTTTTGATTTTATTTTCAAGGCAGTTGTAAATATTAAAAAGACTAGACACTAGTTGTTAATATTTTTCTTAAAGTGTAGGATTAGAATAATTAGTAAAGTCGGCAGAGGTGATGTATTTTTTTTTTAATAAGGTAGTAAGGTCATCTTAAGTAAAAACACCATACTCCTTGGAAACCTGGGAAAAAAAACGTCGAATGGAAGTTTATAGGAATCGACGTCCAAAAACGTAGGAAATTATTCAAATAAAAATTACATTTACTTCTTTCAGATTACCGATGATTTTCTTTTGATATACCTTCTCTGACATAAAATAAATATCACATAATATATATTATGTTGAAACGGTCTAAATAATTTTACATTTTTTTCTAATTCGTCCCTAGTAAAATACCATAAAAGAAAAGAAAATGTTTAATGTTAGTTTTAAGTTTTATATTGTTGACTATTATGTATTAAAAAATAACTGCCCATACTATACAATTTGAATAAACCATACAATACATTTGTATATTTTTGAAGGCAATATGGGGATTGTTCTATTTATTATTTTAATAATACTATTCTCTTAAATCTGGGTTAATTTCATCTCTTCATTAAACCATCTTACACATACATTTACATGTATATCAGACAGACAATAGACTATAATTTAACAGGTAACTAGCAAGAAGTGATGTAATGACCCAACAGTATGTCTATTATGATGTATCCTTACACAAATGTTTACAAAAGCTTACTTACAGATTGCGAAGATAAATATTCTTTTACTTACACACACCTTGCACAACTTGGGAGGGTTTAGGGGACACTTTCTCAACAATTTTTAATCTAACAGCTTTTAAAGCATGCACGTTTATAAAGGTTACATCTCTACATACTTACATTAAATACAATTAATAAATAAAGCTCAAATCAAATGTGACACCTCAATGATTACAGTTTCATCAATCTCGGAAAAATTAGCTTTGTCTTATTTATTTTGTATGAAGGAATGTAATTTATACCTGATAATAAATACTCTATAAATAGATCCAGAATCCTAATCGCGTTTCATACTAGTTTTCAAATGAAATATTTGCGAGTTTTTCGGATAACAAAAATCTATAAAACACATGCAAAATATGATGCGATCGCTGCATTGTTAATAAAGTCTTCGTTGAGGTGTTCTTCAACGAAGACTTCTATTATGTTTCAGATTTAAAATGTGATGAATTTTTGTACAGTTAATTCTCAAAATAATTTACACTTGACATTCACTAGTCCCATTTAATCACTCTAATTGCAATTAGAGTAATTCTGCATAAAAGGTGTATATATAATACAATGTTTTAGAATTGATTTGTCAACGTTAAGAAACTAAGCAAACTTTTTAATACAACGAACTGTCATTATAGAGAAAAAAAAAACTAAGTGAAAATCGACGCTGCAGTAACATGTCGCGTTGGTTCTTTTTGGACAGCACATCGCATATTGTTGTCTATTGTTAAATTTTATGTGTAGGTATGTTGTTCAATGAATTATTTTTCAAAATTAGTAAATTCAAAAGAAGATAACTCTAAATCTATACCTAATAGCCTCGGATTTGATTTGACTAACTATACTTTACTAATCATATTACGAGACAGTAAAATTTGTGGTCTAAAGTTGACCTGGGGACTTACCATGAGTATTATAACGAATACAATCGTAGTGGCCGAAGATCTATTTTTGCATGTGTAAAGCGGTATATTTTAAAAACCGCACTGCATTTTAGAATTTATTGTAAGGGTCGTGCTACTAAAGGAACAACAATTCCTAATTAACAATTCTTTAATACTTAAAATTTCATCCAATTGCCATTAAAATGTTACAATTCATTGGCTGATCTGAATCACAAGATAATATGAAGTCAAATACTTATTACAACTTTTGTTTTCACTTGTGATGCGTCAAAATTACATTTGCAAAAAAATAGCATGACTATAATATTTACTTTACTTACGCAAGTTGAAAATCTAAATTATGTTTATCTTCGTGTCAATAATATTTAAGTTCGAGTTTATAAACTAACAAGAATGCAATCTAACCTTACTAAAATCTAAGGTATATTATAAATATTCTGGATTTATAAAGTGACTACTTTCACCACCGTTGACATGTAGATTTGAAATAAAATGAATTTAATATACCTATAATTATTGTTATTAAAATGTCTTCTTTAGAAACAATAATGAAAAATAACATGTGTGCGTATGTATGAGAGATCCCCGTTATTTATTGTCGGTCACTCCCCACAGCAGCATGCAAGGCTAGACTGCTGCCCTCACGCCGCCAGCAGTGTACGAATGTTCTTTGGCGTGGTCTGATGGTTTAGATGTTTTGTTGTGTACCTGAATTTTGATAAATATTAACTTTTAGATTTCAGTAAAGTAGATTAAAAGATTTTTTTTCCGAGATACTGACTGACGCAATTCGGTTAGATAGCGAACTTAAACTCTGTCGAGACTGTCGCTCCTGGAGTGCTTAAAACCCAACTGAAATAAGTTCAAATGACATTATTATTTCCTTATTGATCAGTCGGTGAGGAAGTGTAATTGAGGCATGTTCTAGTTTGCTTTTTAGTACACCAGCAGTCAAAGGCTGAGGACCTTATTAGGTGACAGTACCAAAGAAATAACGAAGAAACATCAGGGCATGCAGTTTCGCCATCGATAGAGATTGCAAAGTACACTGACCAGGCTGTCAAGTCTAATAGTTAGGAAACTAATAAATATCGCTAAATGCTAGTTGCACCCAGTACGTGCCTAACAAATAACCATATACTTAACTCTAGATACTTGCGATATAGATATCGTTGAAATACGATCGCTAAGAATTAGCGACCGAATTTTGTTACATTGCGATTACAAAATCTGTTGAGGCTGCATGCCCAGGATATTTTAGAAAACCTAAGATAAGCAGAAATTTTCTCAGCTAAAGTTTTTATTTTTATGATTAAACTACAGTATTACTCTAAAACTATCAGTGACATCAGATGATACGACAAATAATGGACATGCTTTAGGAAAATAAGACGGTGGTAAACCTAGATTAGTTTTGTTGGTGGTCTAAGGATTTGAAAGACAGCTAGCTACATACCTGAGTGCATTTAGTAATGGTTCCGCCTTCGCGGGCGTCTGTTGCTGTAAGAACTTGACGCATCCCTTGACGTCCACTGACGAGGAGCGGCAGAAGGCGCCTGACGGATGCACCCAGTCGTACAGGATGATCAGACCGACCATCACTCGTAGAACTAATAGCGACGTCTCTTCGCGGCTAAACTGCGCAACGAGTTTCCTGAAAATAGATTTTTTATTGATTTCATTCTGTTCTAGATTTTCTTTAAAGGAAAATTAACATCTAACCGTATATAATCGAATATTTCACATTCTACTTCATTTAGGCAGACAGACTACTTTTTTAAGACTATGAATATTACGCCACAATTATTTACGAACAGATCAGAATATTTTAATTGTTTGATTTAAGGAAGGTAGGTAACAATATATTTATATTTAAATCAATATATTTAATTTTAATCATTAATACTAAGAATCATAGATATAAACCTACAGGGCAGGTATATAATGAGTTATTTCCATTGTGAAGGTAAGAGCACATACTCACAAAAATTACACAATTACTTATAAACATTAATCCTATTAATATTATAAATGTGAAAGTTTCTTTGTTTGGATGTTTGTCCGTCAATCACGCCGAAACAACTGAACGGATTTTGATGAAATTTGGTATACATATAGGGTATTAGCTGACTTAGATCACAGGATCCTTTTTATTCCACTAAACATTTTCCTAGGGTGAACGCAGGCGAAGCCGCTGGCGAATGCTAGTATTCTATATTCATAAATAATAATATACCTTAATTTTCACACATAAACGCGCATGCTATATATGCGACTTTAAGACAAAATTCCAATTTGGTTCACTTTACATTTTCAAATAGCCGAATTTTCGCAGAGGTACGCACGCAGACAAGAGACGCCTGCATCTTGAGAAAACCAATAATAAAACAATAAATTATACCACGTATTATATAGTAGAATCCAATTTAAAATGTCTGCTAGCATCAATGGTTGCATGAATATATTATGCCCTATCGATGCACAGTCAAACGAATTGCATTATATGTGCGACCTCAATAAGGGCATATCGCATGGGACACCCGGCAGCTGTAACTCTTTGCCTCCTATCTACTATGTTGATAAAAATTTAGAATTTCTAATGTTAAATATACGACTATGACAGACCGAGGTTACGAGATTTTCAAGACTCAACAGTCTAGAGTATGTGAAATAGCATGTTGAATACAAAAATATAGCATGAAACATGGCCCATTATTTCTCCGAAATCGAAATTTTGTGTATTATCGAAAGCTAATATGACTATTAAAACTAACTAACTAAATACTACGAAAGCTAATATACCAAACAAACGTATGTTTCGATAATTTAATAATACAAGGGAAGTAGGTCCTGAAACTGTCTCTGTCCTTATAATCTCCACGGATTTGATTTTAACAAAACTGCTAGAAACTATTCTAATTTTTCCAATGTTTCAAAGTGAAAAATAAAATTCGAAATAGTAACAGGTCGAAAGTGTCAAACAATCATTGAATTAATATCAAAACTATTTTCGAGAATAGGTACTGTTCTACAAAGCAAAAATACGTTGAAGAGACCAGATCAAACTTGCCGTTTTTCCTTGACTATACGTGTAACATAAAAATGTCTAACTGAAGTTTTGTTTTTTTTTTTGTGGGTCACATGTGTTTCGTGTTTACATAGCATCCATGGGTTTACGGCACAATAAAACTATGTGCGTCGGATACGGGTCGCCCAGATCCCGTGCGTAGAATAAACTGTCATCGTGTGTAAACTACGAACTACCGTCCGAAAACGTGTGTATTGCCTAACGAACAAGTTGGAATAGAAGTATAGCTTTATTTATTTTGTAGGGAGGATTTGGAAATGCTTATAATGTGATATTTTTTTTATATCGACGTTTAGTGCCTACATTGAAATCAATCTAGTTAAAAATAATGCAAAAACAAAAAAGTCAAAAACCTAAAAAAAAATAATGTCCATATTAATAACTGCGTTAAAATATAACTAAATTTTATAAAAACTTTTCGTTACAAAGTAAGTTTTAATATTGCTATTGATGGTGAGTTAGAGTGACTTGGACTGCAACAAAAACCATGGTCCCGCTTTCCCTATTAGTTTATATTATTGTTTGAGTTAGTTAGAAACGTAATATAATTTTTGGGACGAAACTGTAATAAAAAGCACACGGTATGTCATTCCAATATTAAGCAACAAGTCTATATGCACAATCAAGAACTACAGGGTTATATGGGTACGCCCAAGGGACGACATATTGTGTTTGAGCGTGAAGGCTACTGACGCCGGTAAACAGTATTAGCACACATAATGCTATATAATTGTTTACAGAGGAGACGACATTTAAAGAATAATAATTGTTGTATAAAAGCGGCAATTTTCAGTACCCATTAACGCTATGTAAAACTTGTTATGTAATAATAGAATGATTTAATGTAGTTATTGAAAACAATTTTACAGATTTCATAGACAAATAACCATTGATTAATTGAGAGCCAAAAATCCAGATGACCATTCAATGACAAATATGAACCCACAAAGGAAACAATAGTATCACGTGCTCGAAATAATTAAGTAACGATATGTGTATGATTGCAACCACTCGAAATAATAATGAATGTAGATAATAAAATGTACAATACGTTTTTATCATTTATTTAAGGTGACTTTCTGTTGGTTTTTAACTTTACGTTTAACTATAGGTATACTAGTAATACGTCAATCTTAGGATAAGAAAAATCTTGTAACTTTTATATCATCATCAGCCCTTTTACGTCCCTACTGCAGGGGCTCAGGCCTTCCTTATGGATGGTTAAGGAGGATGGGCCATGACCCTCCACGCTGGCCCAATGCGGATTGGAGGGTATTAACGACTGCAAATGCAGCCGGGACCAACGCCTTAACGTGCCTTCCGTAGCACGGAGTAGCTCGAGATAATATTTTTTTGGTCACCCATCCTGTGACCGACCCTTGCGAAAGTTGCTGAACAATACATAATAATAATAACATAGACGTAAGATAAATCTGAAATTAGTAGAACACTTGAGTAGTTTTCTATATAAATAAAAAAAAAACGCAAGTGGCTAACAAATTGGAATGAAACGTATTATGAATTACACACAAGAAAATACGACACTTAAATATACGAGCGAATTACTAAGAGAGAAAATAAGAACTTATTTACATATAAAGCAGTATTTTTCCTAGGACCAGAGAAGAAATGCAATGTATAAGAGAACAGAGCTAAAATGGTACGCAGGTGTAGCACGTTTTTTGTATATTAAACTATAAAATTAAAAACTTCATATATTCGGTCACTGAACTTTTGGAGTTTAATGTTGATAAGTTATCAGCGCTCTCGATTCTTGCGTTGGTGAAATATCATTATGCCCTTGGCCAAGTATACATCGTGAGTATCGCGACATATGAGTAATAGGTATCAAGTTAAGAAATCTAATTTGAATCTAGTCTACTTCAATTTAAATCCCATTTCAAATGCAATTTCAATATTATTGACTCAGTCTAGGTTGCTAAAAGGACTTTTGAAAGTCGAAAGCTATACCACCAGTGCGCAAAGCTTTGGCGGGAGACCTTCTACTGAGAAAAACTGTTAAGAAACTCAGCAAGGGCAGCTTTTTTTCCTGTTTTATTTTATACTGAGAATTCAAATTGAAAAGTAATTTCATTAGACTATAAAGTCACCTTCCATTGCAACATCAGAAATATTACAATACATTTTTTTCTATGTTAGCTTAATATGTTGAGTCAGTCTATTTACTGGGAACATGGACACGTCGCAAGATTTTACAATTAACTGTTTGGCATTTAGTAATACCTCACACATAGTTAATGAATGAATATAACAAAGTTGTGACTTTAACAGAAGTTGTTGAAGTACTTTGTCGCAGTAACGAAACATCTACATTGTCAGATGCTTCTTCCATTTGACATTATAGTCAAAAGTTTAGTTCCACAAAGTTCTAAAGCATTTAGTGGTTTTAACACTCGCCATTTAATGCGTCTGGCGCAATGCGGGTTACGTTGACATCGACCATGATTCACAATTTTACCACCCATGACTGGAAACTAAATATGTTTGGTATTTGTGATAGTAATTTATATTGTTTCAAATATAAATAGAATTCTTGGTAAACACTACCCTCAACAATAGCGTAGGAAGAAATTAACAATTAACGTAATTTCAGCAAGTAATAGAGCGGCGCTTATAAATTCAAACATAGCTTCAGAGATTTCGCGAAAAAGTTTCAACACAACGTAATATTTATGTTGACTCATACATAATGATATTAGCAGGCTAGTCTATGAATTCGGACACACTAAAATTTATAATGACAAGACTTCAATTCAAGTTTCTTGAAAGAGGTTTCTCTTATTTTGTTTTACATTGTTAATTTTCTGATTGGCATTTGTTTTGCATTGTTAATTTAAATGTAGCCTCTATTGAGACAAATACGACAGTTCTGACGAGTTTTACAGTTTTGTAACAACAAAACAAAATTAGGTGAATATCAATAAACAAACTTTATTGTTCAGTTAAATTGAAAGACACACTTTCAACTTAATAAATAAACCTAAATTCAAAATAATATTTGAATAAGAATAGCCATAATAATTTAATTTCTCCATAATTTCTTTCTAGAAACTTTGATATACGAGAACATTACAATGGATATTTAATGAGATTAATCGTCGATTGAACTATGTAGGTTCGTCAACCTATCTAAACTTTGGTCTTGTAGCCATAAACTGTTCATATATACGAGTGACAGCTATTTATGTGGGTTATTTGTGTTCTTGATATAGGCGGTTGCGGTACGATATCTGGCCTAGTATAGCCAATGCCGGTGAGCCAACGGACATTCGATCTCTGACGGTAATAAACACGCCCTTGTTGACGCAAGGATGCAGACTGTTCAGATCTGAGCACACTCGATTTACCGATGCATTACAGATTGAAAATGTGTATCGATCGGGTCCACGGTTGAATGCTTGTCTTTATTTATCCTATCCTACTAATATTATAAATGCGAAAGTTTGTGAGGATGCATGCAATAACTACTGAACGGATTTGAATGAATTTGGTATATGGATAATTCTAAGCCTTAATCTACACTAATATTATAAAGCTGAAAAGTTTGTTTGTTTGAACGCACTAATCTCAGGAAGTACTGATTCGAATTGAAAAATTCTTTTTGTTTTGAATAGTTTCTTATATATCGAGGAAGGCTTTAGGCTATATAACATCACGCTGCAACTATTAGGAGCGAAGAAATAATGGAAAAGGCGGACGAAGTCGCTGGCGGCCCCTAGTTAATTAATAAAAGATTTTCATCCCATTAAACAACCTTCGCTCCTCCTCAAATCTGCGGCTCATGTGTCCATCGCATCACTCCGATACCATCCATTCTTCGTTTTTTGTTAAATCGATCCTGTTGTGGAATGATCTTTCGTTGGATATCAGAATGTCCACCAGCAAAGTTACATTTAAAAACAAGCTGCGTAGCTTTCTATTGGAACAGGCTAATTCGTTACACCGTTAGTCGTCTACATTATATTATATATATAGATTATATATTATATTAGTATATGTAGTTATGAAAGTATATATGTATTGTTTATGTAAGTTTATGTATTTTGTTATAGGTCTTATTTCCTGTTTATATCTCCTGTACAATGTGCACACTACCACCTTTTATCTCCACATCACCCATCTGGTTGACTGGTAGAAAATGCCTAAGGCATTAAGTCCGCCAATGTATTATGTACATGAAGAGTTAAATAAATAAATAAATAAACAGTAACCCAGGGAACATGAGGGCGAAGCCATTGGCGGAAACTAGACTATAACTAGCTTCGCTTAAATTATTACAATGCTATTTAGTACTGCAAAAAATAAAATAATTTTTCAGGGCGAGACATATCTTATTTGTGATCTATTAAAAACATAAAATAACACTTGAATCCAATCTAGACCTAGCCCAGCGCTCTGCATATACTTACGTTCTTAATGCTTTGAAAATGTACTTCGAACGAGAAATGCGAGATGTATACCAGTACGTCTGAACCTTTGTGCTAGATTCTCGAATGGCCGGTTTCTAAACAATTGTTTACGACCGTTTGTAATGTCAGAAATTGCTCCGTTTTACACGGGGAGATATATAGGTGCACAGAGAATTCGAAATTCATTAGCTTATCATGTTTATGGCTGACATAAACTGGAAACGACGGTTGTTTGCTTTATAACGGAGAAGATTGTAAAGATATTTCACTTGCATCAACAGCGTTTAATACGCGTAAGCACACTGTGAGATACAATGTTAAAAAATATTGTACTATTGTATCGGTACTAATATTATTGAAGCAGAATTATGCTTCGGTTACATTTGAAGCATCTTGTTATTCACCCGTAATATACATTTAGTAAGTAACTGTAGTCGTATTATTACCCTTGAGATCCATTTGAGTTTGCGAACTGATTTAATGACACCACGCGGTCATATAAACGGTATATTCCGCGGAAAAAATGTCAAAGTACAGGTCACAAAAAGTTTTAACTTTGTGCCTCTTTATGTTATTTTCATATTATTCACAGCTATGTACTAAAAGAAAACTGGAAAAGCTTGTATAAAGATCACAAGGGTCTTTGGGTTTTACGTTAGATTTATAACATCATCGATATTTGAAAAACAAAAATAAGAAAAGTCACTTACGGATTTTCCAGCATCCTCAAGCATACTTTGGCCATCGTGCTCAGAGTCTCTGTCGTGTTTTCTAAATCTTGTTGATTATCGTTCACGAACTGGCTCGTTGCTTCCGATAGAACTTTCAGCATTGGTGTAGCTTGTGCATAGAAGAGAGACATTCTGTTGGCGACTTCTGCACTTATGTGTGGTTCATTGCCAGGCGTTTCGGAATTGATGAGACCTCCACGAGAGACGCTGCGCCTGTAGTAGCTGAAGTCGTTTTGAATGGCGGGCGTTTTCATCTGAGAATAATATAATCAGGCGTTAAAAATTTCAAACGATTTTGGTTTTATGCATGTAACATAACAGTATCTATATATAACGTTTGAGAAAAGTAAATAAATAATACTTTACAATATTTTTTTTTAATAAACAAACTTATTTCCGATCATAGTTACACACGTCATATAAGGTTACAACTGACACTGTATTTTCCTCTCAACGTCACTGTTTCCCTAAGTTACGAGTATAATATTCCCATAACACAAAACGGTTTGATAAGAAATAGGAATTTTGTATAAGACTTTCAAAGAATTCTATACATTTCAGGAGTTCAGTATTTACGCGGACCGCTCAAGTATTAAAGTTAAATGCGAGTTTTCCTGTTCTCCATTTTGTCATTAAGAGCGATCACTCGAATTCATTTTAATAATAGAATTACATTTGTATTTATTATTATGGTTATGATTATAAATATGGCATTATTTTAGTCAAGCATTTAATAACATTGTCATTAGGAATAACATTAGTAACAAAAATTCATTGAAAATACATTTTCGGATTTTCAAAGTTTCCACAACTGGCCTAGAGGTAAGATTGTCTGATATCATACCTATAATCTAAAGTTGTCTGTTGTTGTTGATTCTGGTGTAAGCGTAACAATTCTAGGGTTCTGTCCTGTTCCGGTAGTTGAACCGGAATGTGGGTAGCTGTTATCGTTATTATTACAGATATATATTACTAATTACTTGCGTAAAGTAATAATAGAAAATTGTACCTGGATTGTCTCTATATTCTAGAAATATCTTTACGGACGATGAGCAATGTCATATATTCTAAACTATTAAGCTGTACCTATGTACAGTTCGTCAGTCTATACAAAACTGCCACATTTCTCCACTTGAGTTAAACTTTAATATATTGTTATAGAGTACAAAATCATTTGTGTAGCCTGTTATGCAGCCGTGTGTACAATAAATTAATTGAATTACATTATTTAAATTTCCCTTTAATTTGAAATGTATATCTTATATATAAAAATGAATCGCAAAATGTGTTGGTAAGCGCATAACTCAACAACGCCTCGACCAATTTGGCCAAATCTTTTTTTAAAATGTTCGTTGAAGTTCAAGGATGGTTTTTACGGCGAGAAAAATTAGAATTATTGCTGGAAAAACCCTAAAAATAGCCCTTTTCTTTTTCCCATACAAATGATTTGTAACTAAAACGTAGTCAATTTGAGCTTTATTGCTATGGTATAAAGTTCATATTAAATTACAAGCACTCACTGTTGTTTAAGCAATGTAGATTTTTTGACAGGACGAAGTCTGTCGGGTCAGCTAGTTAAACATAAAATTAAATATAATACAAATTACACCAGAGGAGACAAAATATGTATTAAGATTCTGCCTACCCCGCGACAGCTTTTGGTGCTAAAATTTATACTTATTTAATTTTTTTTAGAATTGATAATTTACTATAAAATGTGACTTTATATTATCCATATAGGATATTATCGTGGAAATCCATATTGTTAAAGCAATTTATTTAATACCTATTGAATAAAAACAAAGAACTTACGATTTCTTAAACCATGATTGGACATCCGTCAATGCGATATCAATGTTAAACTATCTATTCACAAAATAATCGGCAAAGTTCCGACCTTAACACAGATAAAGTCACATCGACTCGTCTGATAGCTGAAACGGCGGGAGTCCATGAGTCAGCGGAGGTCGGCCAAGCCTCACTTTCTATTACAATAGCAATTTAATTTGCTACTTCGACGCCTTATTAGGCTCGCTTGTGTGATCCGCGGTGGGTGACTAATATCTTTGTGTTTTTTTACGTCACAATAGACCAAGTATGCAAGTTAAACAAGCATCGCAACTGTCATATGTTTAGCGTTGTTAAAGATCCAAAAATTCGAACTCTACAAAACTGGGACCGCAGTCCAAGTTGTAATGTTACTATATGTTGTGCAAGAAACATTTCCAATTTTCGATTTCGATGACAGTGATATCGGATAATATTATAATACACAAATACACATATTTCACAATATTAGTCAGTAGTGATAATCAAATATTGGACAGAAATTTAAAGCTCTATAAATTTTATCAGAAATGCACATATTTTAATAGAAATGCACATATAATATTAAAATAAATATGACACTTTTAAAGTAACGTGTTGAACTGTAAACACTTTCCGCACTCGTCGGTTTCGTTAAACTCTTCTTTCGCTATCATATGACGAAATAAGATAAATGTAGAGATTATTTCCATATTTTTTCAATCGACATTCTACATGTTCATTTCTCAGTAAAGAAAATAAGTATTTCAATGTCGCAATCTTTGATTATTCTTTACATATTATGTCAAACAGTACATCAAATAGGTATAACTAATACTCTTTATCCATTTATCTCCATCTCACAGCCAGTTGCAAAAACGTCCATTAAAATTGATATTACTTTATAGCGACATTACCAATACAGATTTGACATTTATTAGAGTTAAAGGCGTTATTAAACCTTAATGGACGTTTGTGCAGCTGATCGTCGACGTATAGTCCAAAATCAATAGCTTCATTTAACATTATTATGATTTATTGACATGCTATCATGTTTACAACAAATTGAATCTTCCTACAGACCATAGCTTCATAGGTACCTAAAAAAATCTGAACTTATTTTTAATAATGCTCTTTTATTTATTTAGCAAAGTGCCTATACTCCAATAATTTATCACAATTAATTGTTCCGTACTCTATTTATGTCTACATAATTTATATCTTAAAATAAAGCTTTTGTGATTCAAGTCAATAAAACCTCGACCCGAAATAAATAATGTGCCTATAAATCATGAGACTGACATCTGTAAGGGAAAACAATGTAAGTCAGTTTTAGTTTACGCAGTTATAAATTTATTTGATAAATTTTGGATTCTCGATTATATAGAGATAATTATCTTATACAAAAATACTTAAAATATTCACACCATGGAGGGGTTTTATCGCTTAACTGTCTACTCTAACCATAGGGTATGACATATTAACGGTGTTGTGGCGATTTTCGGGTTTATAATATTTCCCGACATAAACTTTCTTGTTAGTATAAGATAGAGTTACTAAAAAAAAAATATTTCTACCTATTTGAATAGAATAGGGTGAAAATACAGTTCTTTTCCTACGGTCATATGAAAAGCTAGTCTCGCTTTTTTAAATTAAATTTCCAGATGGATCTTGCTGTAGGAGAGTTCGACTCTTGACATGATGACGGTAAAGGGAAACAAAAATGCACTTGTTAATTCCATAATTATGCAAAAAAAAAATATATATATATAGGTATATATTTCTACCTATTTGAATAGAATAGGGTAAAAAAACAGATCTTTTCCTATGGTTATATTAAAATCTAAAGTATCGCTTTTTAAATTAAATTTTCATTCGGATCTTGCTATAGGAGAGTTCGATTCTTGACATGATGACGGTAAAGGGAAACAAAAACGCACTTGTTAATTCCATAATTACTCAAATATATATATATATCTATATATATAAAAATGAATCGCAAAATGTGTTGGTAAGCGCATAACTCAACAACGCCTCGACCAATTTGGCCAAATCTTTTTTTAAAATGTTCGTTGAAGTTCAAGGATGGTTTTTACGGCGAGAAAAATTAGAATTATTGCTGGAAAAACCCTAAAAATAGCCCTTTTCTTTTTCCCATACAAATGATTTGTAACTAAAACGTAGTCAATTTGAGCTTTATTGCTATGGTATAAAGTTCATATTAAATTACAAGCACTCACTGTTGTCTAAGCAATGTAGGTGTGTTCCTAACGTCAAAGATCATATCTATCACAAAACAATGTGCGTGTGTGCGTTGGAGCACAGAATACATAGTTGGAGGAGTTTAATGTCGCGTTCCGAAACTCGCGTTTCTTTTGTATTAGTTTCGGCACGCGAGATAAAATGCATCAGTTTCCACGTCATTACATGTATTGCCGGAACATTGATGAAAATACGCTCTGTAGTAGCAAAGCTGTTGGGTCCTAGATAGCTCATTGGTTAGAGCAGTCCCTGGATCGCGAATGGGTTCGAGTCCCATTCCGGGGTACAGGTAGATGGATTCTTCCAGCATTTTTCCTTGAGAATGTTTATATATTTTTTTAATTCGAATAGTTTACTTTTATAATGCTGTTGTGTGTAATGTGTTTTTATGATCATAAAAATCTCTTTTTTCTATATTTAATACTATTACTATTAATACATTGCAATAATAATTATGATTCACATGATTAACAATAAAGCGATTACTTACTTTTAAATCCTTATATATGTTTTATTTAATTATTTTTTATTCACAACGCCCTATCACCAGGGTGACGGTTCTGTTCAGGAGAATTTTTTTAAATACGTAGGCAAAAAAACTGCCACATTACAAATCTTTTTGACAGGACGAAGTCTGTCGGGTCAGCTAGTATATATATATATATATATATATATATATATATATAGGTATATAATTCTACCTTTTTGAATAGAATAGGGTAAAAAACAGATCTCTTCCTATGGTTATACGAAAATCTAAAGTCTCGCTTTTTACATTAAATTTTCAAATGGATTTTGCTATAGGAGAGTTCGATTCTTGACACGATGACGGTAAAGGCAAACAAAAACGCACTTGTTAATTCCATAATACTTTTTCTAAACCTGAATTACATCAATTACTCAAAGGTGTCGTTAATTTATATCACTCGTTACGAGGTGTCATATTACTTAGCACAGATGTAATGTATACTTATTCATTCACCATATCAGATTCAAGAATAATAACACCAGAAATATATAATTACACTTATTAAAATAAACAATTGTTTTGAATTTATTGTATTATATGATGATCATCACTTGATTGTAATTGCTCCGATTATTTTATTCAGTTCCAAATATCTATCCTAAACTTCCAAGTTTACAATATACTCATTTGGAAATATTTCAGTTACATTTGATTATTCCAAAAATGACATGGCAACATTACTTACCTTTTTAAATAAATGATCACTGAAAATATAATGGAAAACATCGTCAAGTTCCTCTTTTACTTTAAAAAGAAATAAAGAATTATTTATTAATTATATTTGATCAATTTAGCGTTCACAATGCTATACTGAAAATTATTCTTAACGAAAAATGCTTTTAAAATCCAAAATCCTTTGTCCCTGGTACTCTATCATTTCATTTACATGTATTTTAAATACATGGTGTTTGGTGCATGGATTAACTCAATTTTTTTGAGATAGTTGATTTGAAATTTTTCTTTTCATTTACAAACAAAAAAGAAATATTTATAATGTATTATTTTCTATAATTGTATAAAAACAACGATTTTTTTTTAAATAATCGTGACACTGAACATGAGGTGTATGACTTGAACGTAGTTAATGACCCTCTAAATCTCTCAAAAAAAATTGCATCAGTACATGAACCAAGCACTATGTATAAGGAGGATAATATTATTACTCTTAAGGACTGATGTTCACCCCGTAAGGATGGTGGTTTGAAATATTTATCGCGCAAGGGAAGAGTGCCCCCGTTTACATTCCTGGAAGTGGATGGCAAACACTTTGCAAAATTCGAATAAAGACAGAGCGTACTCTAAGCATTCAATAAAAACGAAATATTTAACGATGACTTAGCGGCTGTGTATTTTAGGCTCCATTAGTTGCCATTTATAATTTAAAGATCCATTTATATTAGAAATTACATAATTGCCTTTGCAATTTGTTATTTGAAAAATAAAGATACTTTTGGCTTTCAAAGTTAATATTATTAAATTAATATCATTAATAAAAGTTTTTGAATCTTACAGATAATATAAATGCTAAAGTTTGTAGGTTTAATCAACTAAATTAAAATCTGCTGATCGGTTTTGATGATATTCGGTAAATGGATAATTCGAAGCTTTGGTTACTAAGCTAAGTTTATATATAGCTTTTAATATTGACGTTGTGAAATATACCAAATTTAAATGGCAGGTTAATCGGCGGGTTGGGGCCGCGCTATGACCATTATGTTATCAACGTATTTTATCGGTTTTGCTTAAGTTGACTGTAATACCATTAACTTGTAGTCCACCTTTTGTACCACGTCATTCGCTGGTCAATAAAATTTAATAAATATAAAAGCGTTACTGTACTGGGGTTAGTGAACGCGAGTATTTTGCACTTTGACCCAACGATTTTTAATTATAACTCTGATAGTGATAACTTTAAAAAGAAGTTCAAAGATTATTTCGCCAATAACGGTGAGTTGTCAAAGTTTTTTATTAGAAAGAAAGAATGAAAGTTTACTGACCACACCTACATGAACACAATGATAATATATAAGAGAAGAAAAAAAAAAAGAAAACAAAAATACAAATATAAAAAAACTACAACATTTTAGGTAGTGACAGAGTGGTCAACATGGACCCTATCTCAGCGATTGTGTTATTGTTTATTATTGTGTCATTTCTTGTTTACTATAAATTTTTTATGTTTATTATGTATTTAATCATGGATTTCTATACTAATATTATAGAGAGATAGTTTCTAATTTTGTTTGTAGAGGGTAATTTCAAAAATACTGATCCGATCAAGAACATTCATTCACTTACGGAAAGCTACATCATATGTGGGTGACATATGTATGCCATAATTTACAAAGGCGAAGTCACGGGAAAAAAGCTAGTCATTATATACGTGATTTAAACTTTCCGATATCCGCGCAAAGGAGTACGAATGGTACAGTTTTAAAGTTTTATATTGAGAAAAAGTGTAGAATGCTAGTGTTTTTTAAGAATACTAAAACTATCGAAATTGTATAAAGTTACCGTTGTTTTAATCATCGTGATTTGTTTTAAGTCTATTCATTAATTCGACAATACTAGTAAACACAGCTAGTCATTGTGACAGCAAAAACCATTGTATGGATAGGCATGAATGAATATTGATTACTTACTACTATTATTGTTAGGCAAAGGAAATGTAAAGCCAGTAAAAGACGCGTTAATGTTATGATTTAGTTCTAAGTTGGGGTATTTATTTATATTACACTACCTGTTTTGCAGCGACACAGAACTTCCCTATTGATGATTGTTGAGGCCTAATGAAGATTTTTGGTTGTAACGACTGCAAATACAGCCGGGACCTAGGCCTTAACGTCCCTTCCAAAGCAAAAAAGAACATAGTAAATTGTCGATGACACATCCTATGATCGGCACTTACGAAAGTACTTTTATCTCCACATCGCACACCGAACTCAATGGCGGTTAGCGCGTCCGGTTTCTTTGTTAATATAAACTAATATTATAAAGAGGAACATAATATTCGTTTGTTTACATTGAATAGCCTTCGAAACTACTGGATCTATTAAATTCTTTCACTTACGAGAATCTACATCAAACGTGGTTAATATAGGCTGTATTTTAAGCTGGCGTAGCCGCGATAAAATAATAAACAAAAATATAAAAATGTCGAACATAAATGCTAAAAACAAAACTAGTCAAACAAACAATATCTCCGAAAGGATATCCAAAGCTAACAACATAATGATAGGTTGATATGATAAAAGCGATTGGTTCCGGAGTAACAGGGAGGAAACGTCGAGGCACTCTGTAACGTTTCCAACCGATTACACAGCAATGAGGCCCAACATGCTGGCGAGTTGACCGTTTAACAAGATTTTTCTAACAGCATCCTCTTTTATACAGCAATGAAAAATCTACGTTTATTTAGAGGCTCAGATATTAGACATGAAGTTCTAGAAATTATAAAATGGCCGAAAAATTGGTGTAATACCTATCTAGGAAAATATTTTTTGTTGTCATAACACAATAATAGTAACGCACAGGCGCAATATTTAAAAAGAGTTTTTTTGTCTATTCCATCATAATGGGATATTCAATCAACGAACCTTAAGTTTGGTGTATATTTGACTGAAGAATCGTCACGTCTCGTCAGTTGTGGAACGTCAAAACTGACAAATAAATAATACATTCAACCTTACCTTGTCAATACTCGACAAATGATTCGTTGCGTAATTAAAAACGTATTCTTACGATCATCGGTCGGATTTGCGTTGACCCTAAACTCGGGGCGTAAAATTAAAATACCGTGGCAAAGAATCAAATAAGAAACATGTTCTAACAATGTCTTCATAAATTATTCTATGTATTATATAATGGATTTTTTATATTGCTTTACTTAATTACACCACACTTTATTTATTTTCAATGTACTTCAACAGCATTTCTTAATTTAATCGAACCTACTGCTACCCACGCTTTTTAAATGTCACAATGGCGCCCAACGTGGGGTACGTTGGATGCCATTGTGACATTCACTTTTTTAAAGAAAAAATTTATCAAAGCTATTATATTTATATTTATGATGACTTACTAAATATCTTTAGTTATGTTTGTAGCACTCTTAGAAATATTCAGGCTTTATACTTCTCGAGTATTCTGGTAATGGATTTTTGAAACTAAATACATCATAACAAAACTTACTTTGTGTTCATCAAATTTGAGTACAAACTCGAGAATCTCTGCGAATTGTTTGACGAGCGCTTGCTGTTGCTCAAGGTGCTGCGTGGGACTCATTGCGCCGCCCACTAGTGAACCGAGCAATCGAGGCACTACCTGCAAACAAAAGTTTATGGTTAAACGTGACCTTTTTTGACAATTTCATTTCGATAATTTAAATTACAGTCACTTTAGGCGTTGTTTCCGAAATTAGAAGATGAAGCGGTGGATTTTAGAAGAGGCGAATTTAAGGCAAACGTATTTTTATCTGAGCAAGTCAAAACCCGATGTCGTTTATATCATTAAATTAAGTTAAATAATTTTAAAAAAGAACAAGGCTTTTAGAAGTTATTCTATGTAAAATGATTTATCTATTAGCTCAAAACTGTACCCAAACTGCAAAGAAAAAACTCCGTCATTGCTTTTTATCACAAAGTGTATTATTATTTTCACATACTCGGCTTTACCATGTCCCTGATTGATCTGACAGGCTGACATATCAACGGTTAGCAGACTAAACAGTATTGAATTCTGACGTTTCTGCTGAGAGATGAACAGCCAGGCTGACAGATTTATTCATGGCTTTCTTTAGGACAAATTAATCGGGGCCAAAACAAATTTATCGTTACGCGATAGACTCACATAGAGACAATGTAGAGCTTGTCAACCTGTCATAATCTTGGGACTAAAATGAAAAACAATTTTATTTTCACGGTGCATCAAACTTATCTGGTTTTATATTGTTATATATTTTATAATCTCTTGTTTTCAGTAGAATGGGTAATCTATCAGTGGGGGGATGAAAGGTCGTCGAAGGGCGGTATAAATATGTCCCCTGAATAAGGTTCAAGGGCGATGTCGCAGTATTTTACAACGCATTACGTCGACAGACGGTTAATGCAGGTTATCAGTCAAGAGAGTTTTCACACCAGTAATTTATTTATTATCGAACAGAAGATTCAACTCATATCAAAGAGGTTTTTTTAACTAGGATACTCGTAAAAGAAACTATATTTTAAGAAAAACAATCGCCGCCAGTTGATATATGCGGTTATGTGGGACACTCGGCGCTAAATTTGACTTTTTTTCATAATCTTGGATTTTCAGTACCAACAAACAATCTTACAGTGTACTTTCTGCTGGAGCTCTACTTAGAATAATTCGTCTGATGTCAAGCGCTCGTTTTCGACTGACTTTATCATGATAATATTTTTTTTTTTGATAATTATCATGATAGTTATCGGATAATTATTCTATAAATATCTGATAATTACCCGTAGTTATTTAAAACAGTTTTTAAAATACAGAAAGGCATTCATAATTGTATAAAATTTTTATTACATTGTTTTTAACTGATAAAAACATAAATAAATAAAAAAATTTAAGAAATATAAAAAGGGTATATTTTTTCCGTTTTTGTAGATCCATCTTAGACAATATTTTATCAGAAAAACCTTATTTGATAGCTATTTAAAGACGATTCCCCTTTAATAATAAGTCCCAAAGTACAAAAAGAGTATGCGTAGTGTTATTTAATTATCAAGGTATATTCATCAACATAATTATCAATGATGATTAATTATCATCTCACTCGGAACTCTGCATAACAAATTCGGCATTTCTAATTCGCTCGACTACAACGAGTTGTATATTTTTCTACTGACGACAAAGTAAGGTTGGATTTTTCCAATATTCTTCGTCGAGAAACGGATTCGTTCAACCATGGGCAATCAAATTTGGAACACAGTTTTTACCACAAACAAACGACCAAATATTCCAGTCTAACTCTCCTGGATTACTGATCACATGGATTCAAATAGTGATGTTTATAATACAGCCATAAGGACCTTCATATTTGTACTATATTATACCTAAATGAAACAACTTTTAAACGTTTTCGACCCTTTACAGGTTCCATGTTCACATAAGACTAATGTATTGATCGTCTTTTTAATTAAGAGTATAGCTGCCTTGAAACCAATAATATTGGACACATTCACAATACAATAAAAATATATTATGGAAATGTTTACATTTAATAAATTAAATTATTTTAAAAATACATTTGACTTATTTATTTATCCCTGGCTACCGTATTCTACCACCAGTTTCGAAATTGGGAGTCTTGTCTAAGAAGAACTGGCGAGACAAACTCCGACAAGAAAAAGTGGATTACTCCCTTAGATTTAATTTTTTGCAGAATGAACTAACTGTGTCCTTTGGTTTTGCGATGTGTGATCTGGATTGAGGTTTGATTTGACTTATTACTGGATACCAAGCTGGTAGTATATGCCAAATTTCAACCCATCAAAATACCGATGTTTTTTAATATCAATATTATACCTATAAAACTTTAATGCCCGTTTTCACTAACTTAGCACAAAGCATATCTTAACTAGAAATCACTTAATATTAAGAATAGCGTAAGCAGATTTGCGCTTTCATCAAACCTGTAACGTTAGGTATTGCCTTATTAAGCACTTGCTTATATAGGCCACGTTTGTCCATGATTTTTTTTTTATGCTGTAGTTCTCCTTTTTTACTAAGCACTTGTTTAGTTAGGCAACGTTTGTCTATGATTTTGCATTCTTCAGTATCTCTTCTTTTTTAATGTATGGTATATTTCGTTCACACAATTTCGCCAATGTAACATTAGTAGCCTTTACACGTAAAAATAATAAAACAAGAAAAATATATGTGGTCCTGTATTTACACGAGCACCCAAATCGTCATTCCATCTATAAAAAGTCCGAACATTCAAAAAATCTTATAGTTTATATCTTAATTATAATACTTATATAAACTACTTGATTCCAACTTACTAAATTAGTGAAAACGGGCATTTCTAAAAAACTAACATTTAAGTAGCAGACCCATACCCGATTAATAACTTGCAATAGATCAATTCACTAGTAATCAGTTCATCAATTTCAAACCAATTTACATTGCGCAACTATAGTTATTAATATTGAAACTATGTAAGTTAGTTCCACAAAAACCTGACCCCCTATTATGACATATCCTATTATGTCTATCAATCTTTTGACACTACTGTACGCGGTTTGTTGGTGAAAACGGAGGCCGCTAAGTTCTTAAACAATACCAGGAAGCAACGTAATTTAACCTATTATAGCATAGGCCGAGCTCTCGAGAATAAATTAAGGGGTCTACTCGATGCAGTACGCGTTTTAATAACCTTTAAAATAGGCATTTCGATTGATTGAATTCAAATAAGCTTATTGACAGCACTTTTAGATCGTCTAAATTGTTTTGTTCATTTGCTCATTGGCTAACTAAAAGAATAGGTGCAAAAATTTGTCAGCTTTGAACAGCAGTAACGACATGTTCATAATCTGATTACAAAATAAAATGCCAATGATAAACGTTGAAACATGATTGATGAGCATTGTTAAGAGTTGAGCAAAGCAAGTCTTATAATCATTTATTAGCCTTTACTCCTAACGTTCTTGACGAGACTTAATTTGTGGGCAGGAAGCTAAATCACATTTCTTTGAAAGCTAGTCTACAATTATTTTATAGTGAAATTCTGTGTGCAAGATGTACGGAGAGAATTATTGTTCAACAGAGATTACAGAGAATTTGGTCAAACATGTAGCTAAAAGAAATCATGTTCGCAAGTGCGGAGTAAATGTAAATATATATATTTTCGAGGTAAAACTGAGGATTATTTTCGGACGTTACTTCATGAGTCAATATAAAGCACTCGGCTTAGTTGTTAAAACAAGAATTAAAAAAGAATCTTTGAATTGCAGAAAAGAGAGTATTTTCAAATCGGTGACTCTAAAAGACAAAAATAAATTTCTTGGGACATTGATTCACAAACTTTTCCAATGCTAAATGTTTTAAATATATTTGTATTTCTTCATGCGGTGATCGCCGTTCCATAAAAAAGCAAATTCTTTTTTGATAGAAGTTAATTTTAATTGATATTGTTCTGTAAAGATATTACGAGATATTTGCTTTAAGGAGCTTTCAAATACGTCACCAATTTAGGTGGTTAATAACGAAGTCATTATTGTTTCGAACTTATTTGTGTTTCTGTTATTAAACTTGGGATCACTTATGCGAGTGAATGTCAAAAATTTTAATATTTATTTAATACAATATTCTAAAAAGTGCTGATGCCAACACAGATAGGTTAACGCTACAATCCTCCTATTTTTACAACATACATACAATTATCCATATACGTCATGGGACATATGTAAAAGATATAAGAGCAGTCTGGCCGACGTGTTAACGTATTAATTACGGTGAATCAGACCACGTGAATCATGTATGCGAACGGCCCCGGATTTTTTCGCAACGTGCTCTCATCCCATTGTACGCCGACCGTTTAATTCTGGGAGCTAACCATGACAAAACACCTTATATGGTCAGGGTTTTTGATACAAATTTAGATGTGAAATATATTTTAATACGCTACGTAGTTGAAGGTATTTTTATTTACACTGACAAGAAACTATTAACGGAAAATAATCCAATATGGTAAACAGAAATCGAAGCTCGAGAAGATGTTACAAGGAGAATATTTTTTATCAATAAATAATGCAGTATATGAGAGATAAACAGCCGCTCTTATCAAATAAATCAACATAATACTCTAAAGAAAGTTCAAATGAACACTAAAGAAATAAATATAAGCAAGTAATATGTCAATTACAATGTAGAGAACTTTAATTTGAGACACTTATTAAACAAAGAAAAACTAAAATGAATACAATCGATATAAAGTTGAAACGATATAATGATGAAGTTGCATAGTGTAAGCTCACACTAGTATAATTTCAGAAAGCACAATTCCATTAATGAATATGCTTCAATATGCACATAGTTACGAACCACCTTGATCATCGAAGCATACAGATGCGGATGACGCTTCTTTACATATTCATCTGCTTAGGAATCATGCGAACGTTTGTATTAACAGTTGATTAACTGTATTATGAGGTCAATAAAACATAGCAATGCACAATTAGAAGGACGATGAGCGAGCGGATACTGCAGATGGAATAATAGCCGGTGTGGTATCTGACGTGGCAAATATATAGGTTACCAATTTTACACTTTGCTGGACAAGAAGTGATATTTAACGA